TAACACAGATAAAGTTATCGACTGTGCTTATTTCAAGGGACACTCTCCCGGTGACCGGGGGTTCTCACACACACTCACACAAAAATTCAGTCTCCCGTGCACACACATACAGACACACACACAGACACACACGTACACACACATATACACACACACACACACACGCAGACACACCTTGCACACATGAGCGGGACGAGATGGCGCATTGATCGGGTCGACATCAGAACGGGCATCACAGGACGGGAGGGGCAGACAGAGAGGATTGTTGGTAGGAAGATGAGAAGACGAGGAGTGAAGAGGAGAGCTGAGGCAGAAGATGAAGCGCAGGAGAATCAAAGGAGTCCACATCTCCTCATGGGGGGCTCACAGTACACACACAGTGTGACGAGTAGACTGAGAACCTGTAGTTTCACCACATTGCAACTCACACACACACACACACACACACGCGTAGTCTGAGCAGACTGTTCGATGTAGTCGCCAGACAACAACTCAACTCAAACAAAAGTTCTTCATTTTCCTCTACATCAGCATCCACGACTCTCCTCCAAAGACATCGGGCACTTTCAGCCCCACGAGGTGGTAGAAGTCGCCGGATGATGTCACTCGCTCGTTTGCATGTCTGTGATGCAATCACACGGGTGGCGTTGTCCCGGTGTTGCAGCAGGACGGGGGCCCCGGCGCCGTGGCGACCGAGCAGCATCGGGAACCAATCACAGCATAACATCATGAATAAAGAATGATCGGCAGGCTCAGAGTAAAAGTCTCTGCTTCAAGATATCAAAACTCTAAAACAAAACCTTTCCTGCATTTCACATCGTCCCTTAAAGTACGACGTGTCCAGACAAGCGAACTTTATTATTAATTACATCGCCATGGAAATGTTTTTTCTTCTGGATTACGGTCGTAGTTTAGGAAAAGAAAGCCAACGAGAACATCTCCAAACTGATCTGGTCTGAGTTCCCTTTAACCTTCGGGTCGCTTGGTTCAGATCGGAGCGCTGGGAAGAGAGCAGAAAGAACGCGGCGCCAATCCCATCCGAAGAAGAAGTGATTTCCTGCAGCGGAGAAGGTTTCCTCAGAGGGCTCGCGGCCTCACAGCTTTGTGACATTGGCTGAAAGTCACCATGGAAATCAGGCCTGTGGGCGGTGTGTGTGTGTGTGTGTGTCTGTGTGTGTGTCTGTGTGTGTGAGCAATCGGCTGTTGCTCATTAACGCCCTCCAGGATGTCGCTGTTAAATCAGATGTTTGACTCTTTTACCGCAGTGACCGAATGTGGGCTTTAAATACAATCACATTTTTTATTATACAGCCTCTTTTTCATTATTATTAATAAAAACCCGTGGACGTAAACAGGGAATATCCCCCCGCCCCCCCCCGTTAAAGACAATGCTGTTTGTCTAATGGGTGTAGAAGGTGGTGGTTCTGACAAACCGTGTTGTGGGTGAGATCCTCAGCTCGTCAAACGAGGCGGGCAGAAGAAGAACCTGCTGGTGACCTGCTGGTGACCTGCTGATGACCTGCTGGTGACCTGCTGGTGACCTGCTGGTGACCTGCTGATGACCTGCTGGTAACCTGCTGGTGCCCTGCTGGTGACCTGCTGGTGACCTGCTGGTGACCTGCTGATGACCTGCTGGTAACCTGCTGGTGCCCTGCTGGTGACCTGCTGGTGACCTGCTGGTGACCTGGTCAGCTCGTCGGTGCCGTAGTACTCGCTGAGCGCTGAACGCTGAGTGACTTCCTCTTTCCTCTCGCATCGCTCGTCCCTGAGATGCTTGAGCTCGCTTCTACCCCATCAGGTCCTTAGGAGGTCGATTAAACCCGTTTTCAGAGAGTCTGTTGCCAGGAAAGAAAGCTGCCTGTTAATTCTATTGTTTTTCATTCATTTTGTGTTTTTTTGGGGCATTTTCTAACCCACCAGTTCAGATAATTCACTTTGAAACCGCCGTCATTTCGGCGGGAAAAAGCCGCCGGCTGAAAGAATCGCTACGGCGGATGTGGCTTCTAGTTGCAGTGACCCGGAATGTGCAGGGCGCCGCGTTCTCCCTTAGGAAGGACGGGGGGGTTGTTGTTAAGGCTTCTTTTTTTTTTCTTTTCCTGAATACAATAAGTGAGAAAACTCATTGAAACTTGTGACAGGCTCTGTCAAAAACCAGCCCCCAGCGCCATGGCAACAACACACCGAGAGACTGACGCGTACGGCAATGAATTCAGACGCGCGGCGCAGGGCTTCACGCGGCGATGCTTCACGTCTCTACACGCGTCGTGTCGTGCCTCTCATTCAACAGATTCGTAGAGGGTGTTAGAAGATGGTCTTACAGATGTTAGTGGGGGCATGCACACCTGGCAGCGGCGGATACGGTCTCCTGACAGCAGCGTCGTATTGCTCATTGGGCCAATAGTAAACGTGGAACAATGACGGCCTGGTTACGGGCCACGGGCCGCGGCGTCGATCCTCACACACACACATCCACTCCAGAAGCTCCTAAGGAGGAAAAGGGAATATAGCAACCAGAACAGATATCATCATTTTCATCTTCTAAAGGAGGATGTACGTGTAGTTTGACCAACGTGAACTATGTGGGTGTTTGTCGGACAAATGAAGCCATTTTGAAATATCACTTTTTTCTGACCTTTTGATGAACAAAATAATACGGTTGTACATTTAAAAATTGCTACTTCTAATTTACAAGCACTGTTTTTATAATACTTGATGAGATGGCACTTAAGATGCTGTGTCTTCTGAGCGGAGAGCATAATGTACTGTAGCAGACTACCATATGTTCGGAGTGTTGGAAAAAGGGAAATGTGTGAGCAAAAGATGGGAGGGCGAGGGAGAGGAGGGAGAGAGGGAGGGAGAGAGAGAGGGAGGGAGGTGGGAAGAGGGAGGCGTCCGTCGGCTGAGCAACAAGCTGCGATCGGAGGAGCCGGTGGAAGGAGGAGAGATTAGAAAAGGAGCCTGGAAGGGATGGAGATCAATCAGAAGATGTGAGGATGTGAAACAGGGAGAGAGAGAAGAAGGGGAGAAACGAGGGAGAGAGAGAGGGAGGACAGAGAGGAGTGCAGGGAAAGTGACACGGAGGCTTTGATTGACAGCAGGGAACCTGGATGGGAATTCTTTTTGATCCTCCTCCTCAGAGTTATCACAAACTCGCTACTTCCAAGCGTTTCTTTATTTTTTATTTTTTTTGTGGCGTCCGGCGTGTGTTCAAAGATGACGTAAAGAGGCGCAATCGGTCCGCCGGGTTCTGTGGGAGCGCAGTCGCTCGCGGTGGAGGACGCGCGCGGATTGTGCCCTCGAACTCGCCTCGTCACACTTTCCCTCCGTGAGGTAGGTTCTCCTTCTTCTGTTTGTGCCCGGGGAGGAAATCGCGGACCGATGACGCCGATGACAGAAGTAAACGGTAAAAGTGTGAAGACATGTGAGGAATCTCTCTCGGGGGGGTTCAGAGTTGATAAAGACATCTGTCCAACGTGACACGGTGGGATTTCCTGTTGGATGGGAGAAGATGATCGTTGGAGTAAGTCCTGGAGCAGGAACCCGTTTCCTCTCTCTGCTCACATCTATTTTTAAACCAAAGCGACTGAAACTAAACCCTCTTTACTTTTATTCTCTTCCAGCTCTGCTTTCATTAAACGTGTCGAGGGAGTCCTTTATGCAAACTCTTCAGGATCTCCGCCCCTCCGTCCCTACACCTGCCAATCGCACTTGGCGTTGAGCTTGCGGACAAGTATTTCATCCCCTCCGGCTCAGTGCAGCCTCAGAACGCCTCCCGTTGCGCGTGGGTTCGCCAGTCGTGATCTCCTCTCGCGTTGTGTGTGAGATCGTCATTCTTTCATACTTTACTCCTCCGCGTGCAGCTCAGGACCTCGCGTGGGTTTGTGAGCACGTACGTGGTTTCATTAACTGAAGGATCTTCCGCGCGAGACGCTCAGCAGCCGCGAGGCGCCGCCGAAGTTCCTCTTTTTTCTTGGGCGCGCGTCGGCCCGCTAACGACGGGATCTGACGGCAGCTGCCGTGTCACGTGAGAGGTCGCCGAGGCCGATGGGGGAGGGACGGGAGACACTCGGTGGCCCTTGGCGGATGTCACTTAGACACACATCCTCCCGTTGGCCAACGTAAGACCACTCACGCAAACCGCATCTACGCCCTGCAGCCGAATCGCCCCTCTCTCCGTAACGCCACACAGAGGCGTGTTGGCAGAGCGAGAGCGCGTTCTGACCCGTCGCTGCCAAAACATCCTGGCGAACTGGCGCTTGGGTGGAACTGAGGGCGTCATCGAGGTGTTGGGCCGCGGTGCATTTATACAACTGCACTTCATTTATCAAACGTCTGCGCAATCAGTGCGGTTTTGGAACGAATGGTGGAGCCTTTACTTTAGTTGATAAGTGACTGTGTGCAGACCTTCCCCCCCTTGTACTTAGTGCATGAACGTTTTTAGGACGTGCAGAAGGAGCACCGGGGTGGCCGGCTGCCCCTTCAGGGCATCGTGGAGTGGACACTGTGGCATTTGCACGTTCATGTACCTCGGGACCCGTGAGAGACAGAAGGACTTTTAACATTCTGGAGAGAAGGACGCTTTGCTGGGTGCTCGACTTTAAGGTTTAACGGGCAGATTGAGGTTTTTTATTTCGGGTGTCTCAATAGAATAGGTTTAAACTGATAATGTATTCATTCCACCACTAACGCTGCATTCATGATCTCGTGCTGGTGGGTGATAATTGGTTCACAGATTAAACCCTTCCATGTTTTTGTGTGAATGTGTGAATTCCCCGGCTGTTGGATTCTGGCATGTGAAGCCTTCAGTTGGATTTTATATTGGTAACGTAAAGGCCCGGTGAGGCGGTAGATTCACCAGCTGGTTGTTCACAACACGGAAAACGAAAAAAAGGGCAAAGCCAAACCCCAACGCGTAGACATGAAGGATAAGAAGAAGGCTGGATGGCTGCCCTCGTTCAGAGGACCACAGGGCAGCTCGTAGATGAAGACGCTCTCTTATGGGAGGGTTATTGCGGTTGCAATTAAGTAATTAAGCAATTAAGTTGCTGTACACAACAACAACTTAATTGGAAGTCACTATGTTGAGTTTTCGGGTCGTCAGTTCCTGGGAAGTTGTGTGGAGCAGCAGCACAAACCGGCGCTTCTTCTTCTCAGCCGGCTGATTGCAAGAAGCTTTCTGTTTTCGGAACGGAGTTTTTTTTTTTTCCTCCTTTTCTCGTTTGGCGTCCCTCGAAATGGCTGAGAGGAAGCTAAGTGAATTAGCCTCAGGAGGCATTTTGTCATTCCCATCGGGTTACCGGTGGCAGGCGGCCAGCCGACCACCCACTGCTGGAAACGGGGAGGAGGGGACGCGGCAGCAACGGCTCATTCGATTAGCTCGGGGGAAAGTGATTGCACCTTCCGCTCCCAACAGGCGCCCTGTCCCCCCCCCCCCCCCCCCGGTCCTCCCCGTCTGCATGTCGGCCGCCGTTCCCCCCCCCCGGCTGCTCCCACCGCTTCACCCGGGAGCCCGTCGGGGCCTTCGAGTGCAATCACTCTGCCCTGTTTAGAGATCTGTTTGTGCTGCAAACCAAATTTTCATGAGAGCTGTAATGGAAAGGAGGGTCGGCACACGATGCACCGAAGGTGTGTGTGTGTGTGACAGCAAACGTGTGTGCGCGCGCGTTAATGTCTGTTTGAGAAATGACTGATGGATTTGGACGGAGGTGGAGTGGTGATGATAAATCAATTAGAGTGCGCGGGAGATTCCGGCTAATGACTGTGACAGCAGGGCCGGTGTCCCACTCAGCTGTGACTCAGCCCTTCGGGGGGGTGTAACGGTGCACACATGTGTGTTCTAGCTGGATCCCACTCAGTGGGAGTAATCGTGCACGGGTGTTTTGATTAAGATAATGGACAAAACGCTACAATCTCCTTTGGTCCTTCGGTGTGAGAAACGATCTCCTTGAGACGAGCGAAAGCACCTCGATAAAAAATGCCTTAAAATGCATAAAATGCTTTTGTTAAAAGCACCCAAAACCCAGACCAAGTCAAGGCCGAGACCAGAATGCATTGAGACAAAGTCAAGGCCGAGGCAGGTGGGCCCCACACTGCACGATGAAGTGTGGAAGCATTGAAGCGCTCCTTAAGTAAGGTCTAAGATCTGAGAGGACCTGCAGGAGGCAAACTGTTTCATCGCCGTAGCTTCTCTACAGGAGACACGAGTACCGTTTGAGGTCTCAGGAGGCATCGGGGAGTGGGATTTTATGTTGGGGAGTTGTCTTTGAGAGTCTCTTCTTCATATATATACATATATATATGAGTGATCTTTGGATGGAGCTTCTCCAGAGACAAGCAGAGCGACATCATCATCCTTATTTTGTCCCTTTCTGCCGTCTGTCCCCGTCCCACTTATTTGCTTTCTAAAATGACCCCTGTCATTGTGGCTCTCGCCATCAGCTGTGATCACACTTTTCTTCTCGGCTTCGCCCCTTTCCGAATGTCTCGGTCTTCCTTCCAGCTGTCTCTCCTTCCTAACAGCGGCATTTATTATTTATTGTCTGTCGGGTCCTCTTTGTCCCAAACAGAACAGCACACTCATTACGCACGATCTCTCCTCCGAATGCGACTTCATTTGTTGCACGGAGATGAACACAAGCTTCCATTGTGTGTGTAGGTGCTTTGTGCATGAGCGGCTGAATTCATGTTGCTGCTGTTTGACCATTAACGTTTACATGAAATACGTATTCTTATTTCTGTAAGAAATTTCATCTAAGAAGTGCAACTATTTTTACTTTTAACTTTAACCCTAAAAAGCCTCAAATGCTGCTTCTCATCTCCTCATCAAGACCAAACGTAGCTGAAGAGCAACCACATTGTTCCGTCAAAATCTCGTCTTCGTTGTCAACAGGTTGCAGGATGTGAGAAGCCACTTTTAGTTTTGGACCCTTTTTTTTTTTGAATTGCACTCTTTCATAGGTCAACAATGAGCGCATGTAAAGACCTTCATGTGGAAGCTCAGTCCGTCTGTCAGGTGCAGGTTGGTTGTATGGTGGAAACGTGCCGTTGGCCCCCCGGCGGTGCCGTCTGATCGATGGTCCCGGCGGGATATTGGCGGAATGGCCGCTCTGGTTACCGGAGACCGTTGAGGACGTTGATCAATGGCCCTGCAGCTTTTAGAGAAAGGAGACGGGGGGCGAGGAGCTTTTAATGGGCCCTCGGACCGGTCGGGGAGAAAGTCATTCGTCAGAAGGCTTCGCGGGGGGGGGGGAGGCGATGGGCTCCGGGCGCGTTCCCGGCACGACGATATGAGGAGCGTATCGTCGGAAAGACGAATCGACTGCGACGCTCGTGTGGCTCCTGGAAGCCACGCTGAGACTTGAACGTGTCGATGCAGGTGAGAGACGCACGAACGCAGACTCGATGTACGACTGTACGACGGGTGAGGAAATACTGTGGGAGAAAAGATTCCATCACACTGAATAAACAGATGGAGCTCGATTCCAGGTGGGAGTGTTTGTGGTGACCGTGTTGTGGTTGCGCGTGACGTGTGATTGTATGTTCTGCAGAACGTGTCGCGGCGCTGGGTTGTGGAGTCTTGCGGAGAAATTTGGGCCAAATCTTTTGTGGAGAGTTTTAGGCGGTTTATTAAAAATATGGTTGCCTTTTCACAGCATTGTGATGTGTGAAAATGTGTTTTGTCGATAGTGTGAGGAGCACGACATTCGTCTTCTGCTGAAAGTCATCAATCTTCAAATTGATGCTGCAAAAATGTAAAGTAATTAGAATATTTTATGTCAAGGGCTTTTATTTTGGAACGGAAGGATCTGCTCCGCGCCGCTTTTGTTTTGCACTAACAAATGCAGATGCACATGAGGAAGAAAAAACAATCACACCATTCTAATATCCAGCTGTGACTGAAGATCATCTGCCCCAGTCTGCTTGTAATGGCACAAATGACAAAACTCAAGCAATCACAAACCTTTTACTGTTTAGTTGTTTGTGAACGTCATTCTAATCCTCCAATGGGAAATGGCCCCAATTTTCTGCTCTCTTCTTCTCTATTCTGGTCTATTCTGCTCTATTCTATTCTGCTCTATTCTGCTCTACTCTATTCTACTTTATTCTGCTCTATTCTATTCTGCTCTATTCTGATCTACTCTATTCTACTTTATTCTGCTCTATTCTATTCTGCTCTATTCTGATCTACTCTATTCTACTTTATTCTGCTCTACTCTATTCTACTTTATTCTGCTCTATTCTATTCTGCTCTACTCTATTCTACTTTATTCTGCTCTATTCTATTCTGCTCTATTCTGATCTACTCTATTCTACTTTATTCTGCTCTATTCTATTCTGCTCTATTCTGATCTACTCTATTCTACTTTATTCTGCTCTATTCTATTCTGCTCTATTCTGATCTACTCTATTCTACTTTATTATGCTCTATTCTATTCTGCTCTACTCTATTCTACTTTATTCTGCTCTATTCTATTCTGCTCTACTCTATTCTACTTTATTCTGCTCTATTCTATTCTACTTTATTCTGCTCTACTCGATTCTGCTCTATTCTGCTCTTTTGAAGCCAAATCGTTCAAAACTTTCCCTCATCATATCATTTTAATGCCATAATTTACTGCATGCAATCGTAGACTCTTGGAAGTCACAGTGAGGTAACGATTCACTTTCCCTGGAGACACTCTTAGTTTTATTCCGTCTGAGAAAAGTGCCCCATTGATGGCGCGTTGGATTTAGTGACATCTTGTGAGTACGTGTACGGACCTTCTCCCCTCTGGGGATGAAGTACTTGACCACTGTAACGTTGGATTCAAACGAGTCGTCTCTTGAGTCGCTGAGACGAGTGCGTGACGCGGCGTTATTCAGCAGAGAGGACGAGGTAAATCTCCAAAGTGATTCTTGTCATTGTGACGCAGGACACTCTGTAAACTTCCCCTTTTGGCTCCAGTGGGTTTTCTCCTTTGGGTCGCGTCCAATGTGAAGTGACTGCCAAAAATAAGCCATAAATAATACAAATAATGTAATGCAGAAGCAGGATAGGGAGGAAGACACGGATATAGAGGAGCTACAGTGTCTCTTGTCCTGTCTTCTGAATATCAGGTTTTTATTTAAAGTGCTTTGATCCTGAATGTGTTGCACAAAGAAACAATCGTCACATTGATAAAGGCCTCGAGGAACCCGCGGACCGGCCCGGAGGTTCCCCCCTTCCTCTTCTAGTCCTGAAGACTTGGTGTGGCTTCCTCAAAACTCCAGTACCCATGAGCCTCCAGCGCTGTTGCTATGCAGAGGAAACCAAGAAAGGAATAAAGATGCAATTAGAGCACAATGTTTCCAGTGCAGTTGGAAGCTAATGGAGCTCCAATTCTGCCACATTTAAGCCAGAATTAGAAAGTGAACTCATTTAAACAGACAAATTGTGTGTTTTTACCTTTTTTATCTTTAAAAGACGAGTCATGCCTCACAAGTATACGCTCAAACAAAATGCTTCTTGGGATTCTGACTCCGGGTTCGTACCTTTTGACTTTTCTTTCAAACCGGCAGTTTCGTGCCCATCTAAGCCTTGGAAGTGTGCCAATTAATTTTCTTTGTGTGTGCGTGTGTGTGTGAGAAATAACCACTTTGGCAGATAATAGTGTGTCAGGCCGCTTTGTAAGATGAAGATTAGAAAAATGCTTTTATCCATTCATGGAGAATTGTAAACGACAACGTTGTGCGCTCTCGTGTGTGCTTTAGTGTAAATGTTTCCTCCTCGCTGTAGCTCTTAATGAGGAGGTTGTTCAGCCCTCAACGTGGGATTGATTTCATTTACAAACCCTCCTTCACAACTAACACTGAGTATCTGCAGTTAAGCTCCCAAAATCCTCTTTAATCTCCTTAAATTAAATATATAATCCTTCCTCTTGTTACACATGAGATTGTTTGTCCTAGATCGACTGTAATGAAGCTTTAACAAAGACCTGTTCTAAGTAATCCAGCAGTAAAAGGTACATGTCAGTGTCTAGGAAATCAATACCTGGGATCGGAGCGGCCGTTCCTCTGTGGCCACTCAAAGGTCACGTAGAGCTCAAGCGCTTCGGTGGATGGTGGAGTCAAAAACAATGTGAGGACAGAAGACTGAAAGCAGTTTTACAAGAACTAAATCGAGGAAAAGGAAAATGAGAGGGACCATACATGTTAATTATAACACTATTTTCATTCATTCCATCTGCTGATTGATAAATAATATATTTAGTTTTGGGCTGTCGCAATGGCCTTTTATTAAATTGTAATGCACTCAAATAGTGTAATTTATTTAATAGCACAATTAACTAATAGTACAAATTAAAGTTTAAGCCCTAATATGGAGAAGTGTTATTCAGCTAACATCCCGGAGGGTGTCCATCCAGTTACACAATGTACATGTTATTCCATTGTGAAGCATTCAATCAACAACTTTGTCGGTGTTAGAATGTTGTGTAGAACAAGTGTTCAATCCCGATGTAATAAGTCTCCATTTTTCACTGATTGAGCCCACCTACACAGGTATATCAATCAAGAGGGGAGGCAAAGAGCAGCATGTGCTACGAGTGATTTTCATTAAAAGTTATGTTTATTATTGAATTATTGGGAGTGGGAGTGGCCAGTAATGCACTGATACTGATACCCCCCCTCCCCCCATCCCAATCGCAGTGAAACTGTTCACGCCGTCACATCCGATTCACGTGGTGTGAAACCGATCGATAAGTCAAATACGATCTCTGGTCAAAGTCCTTTCTATCTACAAACCCACCGGACATCGCTGTTCATCCTTCCTCTGGAACGGATTTTCTCTCAAACAGATTGAGATTGTTTTTGGCACGTGACCGAAAGTGCGTCTGCATTTAGTTATGACATTCTGGTGTCAGAACAGACCTGTCCAAATTTCGATGAATTTAATCTGTTTGCAGCTTCTTCTTCTTCTTCTATTCTTCTTATGTAGCGTTTCAAAGAGTTTAACGGTGGGCAGTTTCTGTATCATCATTTTATAATTGCATCTCTATGACGTAATCTCCATTTCCTGGTGGACCTCAAGATGCACGCCTGGCAAATTCAGGTTTATCAATTAACACAAAATCCCACCTAGCAGTTTAATAAAGGAAGGGCGGGGAATTCAATTCAGATTGAACTCTTGTGGCCGGTCAGTTCTGGGCAATGAGAGGAAATGTGTTGACAGAACTTACTTATTTTTGTGTAAATGACATGAATGATTGCTGAAGTTACTTCACTACTACACACTCCAGTGTTTCTCCTTGTAAACATTTTATTCCGAATTTTAATCGGACATTACTGTGTCAGGTTATGGCAAAAAGGTGTATCGCCATAAAATGTGAATGATTCCTCACATGTCTCCTTTGTTATTGCGATTTTCAATTGACTTCTATGTCACTGTGTAAGAAGTATTTTATCTTTGTCTCTCCTTTTTAGTCACGGACCACTGACACTGAGTGGGTGAACACTATCCACTTCCCAGAGGCTTAATTAATGAACTATGATACAGAGAGGATTTTGATTTTGATTTTGACACCAAACGACAATGTGGGAAACTAGATGATTACAGTCTGCTCTCTTGAGAACATGTTCTCCAGGAATCGCTTCAATGGTCAACATGGAGCAGGTGTTGCCCCCAAAGGAGCCGTAAAGGCTAAGGTCCATTCCCCCAAGAAGAGGGCTCCTAACCCCAGGGTAGCACTGGTCATCCGTGGTAAAATACATCGCCTCTTGCAAGGGTCTTCAGACCACCATGTCCCAGACTCCCAGCCGTATTATGCAGGTATTGAGGATGAGGAAGAGAGGGAAACACAAGAGGGCGAAAAAGAGCACAGAAGCAGATCCCCAAAGGTCAGGTCCAGGGCTGAATCCTGCTCTCCAAAGGTGCCAAACGGTAAAGGACATGGAGAAGCACCGGGGCCGCCGTGTGTCGGAGAGGTGGAGCTGAACAGAGAGGGATGTATAAGATTACCATGCACCTTGCAGCATAAAAGCGGCAGATCCCCAGCAAATTCGAAAAGAATTTCCTTCGAGGGGGACATTCCAGCAGCTCCTGAGCAGATGCAACCGGCCCCCCACCACAATCCAACTGGGCCAGACATGAATGGTGCTAAATTTGCAGGAGCAGCTGGGACGGATTTTGCTTCACCCCGTGTTCGGCCAAAGAGACCCTTTTCTGCCGGTGACTGTCTGGACTACAACTTCAACAGAGCTCTGCCGGGTACACTGCTGGAAGAGGACGAAGAAAAAGAGGAGGAGTCGAGCGATGTCATTGAGCACATTCTTAAAGAGCTGAGGGGGATCAACAAGATACAGGAGGAAATCTCAGACCTTCGGGATTATCTGACCTCGGTTCGGGGGTCAGTTGAGGAAGTGTCATCTTGTGTAGATGCCGTGTTGCTGGAGATTGAGGGCATTCGGTCTAGCAACAAGGCGGGTTCAGATGCCCACGCAGATACTTGGTCGGGAGCGGGGTCCAAAGATGGATCATCCTCCCGTAGAAGGCCCGCTAGTGCTTATGGCAGTTTAGGGAGCACAGTGCCAAAGTCTTCCTCAACTCTTCTCCCCCAAGTCTGCAATGAGCGTCATGGCATCCGTGCTGATTTAGGGGCAGAGGAGTCTACTGTGTCCCCAGTTGTTGAATCAGTAGATCATCAGGACCTGGAGGAAGCAGAGGATATCTCTGACCAGAGTTCGGATATCCCAGTAGGTGCGATAGCAAGAAAACTCAGATTTGGCTACTGCGAAAGGCAGGATGACCAAGACTACCCAAGCACCAGCTCCTTGTCATCTGGTCATAGTGAGTCAGACCTAGAGGGACCATCATTGAGTCATGGAAGGAAGCAGCAAAATGCTGATGATAGGGAGGAACATTGGACCAATGCTGGACAACCACACAGTGCTTCCGGGGAGTCTGCCAGGCATAGGGAAACTACCTACCGCAGGGGCAGGAGTCTGGAGGAGCATGGAAGTGAGAGCCCTCTCTGCTGTGAAGGAGCTGGGAGCTGGGAGCACTACAGAGGTGGAGGAGGTTATGGTACTTCAGGGCAGTGTTCCACAGGAAGCTCGGAGCATCTCTCTCTTCGCTCTAGAAAACATTACAACTCACCTGCCAGCACTTCTAGCAGGGAGGACTGGCAGCCACGTAGAAGAAGGCCTCAAGCCAAGTCTGGGAGTAATATTCCAATAGATACCAACCTTGAAAAGCCTGCTCTGGCATATGAATATTCTGCTGATTTGTCTTACCCTCAAAGTACTGGTTACCATTCAAATGATGGGCATGATGGAGCAGCAAAGGAATTTGATTATGGGAAACCAAACGACCTGACCTACACCACCGACTGCCATGTCGATAGTTATCAGGAACCTTACTTTGCCTACGAAGAATCTTCAGCAGTCACATGGACTGAGGAATCCTTACGTACCACTCTAGCTGATGTGGATAGACCATTCGTCCAAGAGACTAGAGCCACCAGGCAAAGCTCAGACAATCGACTTCCTCGCTCCGTCAGTGCCGATGTCCAAGCTGGTGGTTTCAATGTGAAGCGCATCGGCCGAGCTGTACTTGATTTTAGCTCTGCCTTACGCGGTGCATTGTGCAAAATTGAAGTACCTGCGTCCGAGAATCCTGGAGAGGAAGCAGAGGTTGAAATATCAATGCAGTCTGACGTGCCCACAGCTGATTTGCATTCAAAACCTCTATGCTATGAGGCACAATTTGAACAAACATGCGACCAAATCCTGGAAGGCAACCTTGGTGACAGTGGTAGGGCTGTACGGGAGTTACGCAGACACAATACTCTAGACACATCCGAACTTTTCTCCAGGGAGCCTACGCTTGAAGAAGCCAACAACGGCCTTACATCGCAGTCTACATACACCTGCCAACACCCTCCATGTTCAGACAAGATCCCCCCATTCCCAGAAGAACCTTCAGTCTGCCCTGACCCATTTTCCAGTAGCACTACAGCACTGCCTCCACCTTATGGCCTTACAGAACAACCTGCCGAATGTCCCGCGAGTGGTCCTGCAGATCGGACCGTTAAGGCCCAGATTTCTCAATGCACCACCACAGAATCCCTCTCAGTCTCCCTGTCAGTTGATGAACCTGCAGAGCTGGAGGAGCAGGGAGAAACGGAGGTGGAGCTGACACGACAACCTGCTACAGGGTTCGTAGGCGATGCAGCAGAGCCCCCCTTGGACATAAGTCAGATGGATGAACGCAGGCTAAAGTGCCTGAGGACCTTCCAGCAGATTCTGCGGGAGAAGAGGGAGTCCCGACGCAACCTCACCAGTATGACAATGTGCAGCTTCTCTCAGGATGACTTTGAACCAGGTAGTCATTGTTGGACCGTACGTTGGAATCATCGTGTGTTTTGATTACGTCCATTTTGTCTTTTTGAATTTTATTAAATAAGTATTATATTAGACACAATTACAGTACATCCTTCTTTGTTTTTCTCATTCCCAATTTCTTTGCTTTAAACTTACCTGATATCAGGAAGCATTTTGCACTTGTTTCCATCTTTAGTCAGACGTTGACTCTTCACCCACTGACTCCCTCTTTAAACAATCAAGTCAAGACCAACGTATCTGTACCCTCCCGAGACCCCCCGCCCCCGCCCTCCCCCGAAACTCTCGCTGTGTGTGAAACTCTTTGAAGTGTCGCTCTCTGGTCTGTGTGAACATTGATAGGAGGATAACCACCGGTTTGCTCTTTGGGTGCGTTCACCCAGCGGTTATGAATAAGAATACTTAAAGGTCCCGCAGGTTTTAACTGCAACGGTCTGATAGGATCATTTTTAATCCCCCCTGAGAGTAATGTTTCACATGCCACTCACGAGTGCTCCAGCAGAAGCCATTTGCTGAATTAGAAACCATCAATTATCTCTTTGGAAAGCAAGCCCGACATTAAGGAGCAACGAGGAGGGAAATATTAGGAATCATTTTCCTGATAAATTATACATGTTAATGAAACATTTATGACCTCTTTTACCCCTGACTCTTTCACCGTTCACAACAAAATAAATATTACAGGGTGTGTGTTGTTATTTTGAGTCAAACTGGTCCATGACTGATTCTTTTCTGTCTGCTTGCTCTTGTCTCTTACGCTGTTTTACAGATGGAAATCAAGGAGGAGATCAGGTTATCTGTTTTGTGGTTTCTCTTTCTTTCTAAGTATTAACATGACAACCTAAAGGAAGTTGTTCATGTCATTTTCTCATGTCAGTGGCTCTCTTGATTTCAATTTAAATCCTTTTTTGTGGGTGTTCACATTAATTTCTGTCAGTTTCTGGGAAAGGGAATAGCTTTATGTTTTACAAGATGTCGGCCTCCAGGCATCCCAGACCTATTAAGAACATGTGTTGTTCCTGTCATGAATATCAACAAATGACATCCAGGAATAGGTTCAGTATTGATTAGGATAAAATATTGATGAGAAATAATACTGGAGTCCAGTCTGTCGGGCCGACATATCAGCCTGTTTTCTTGCAGCCACCCGGTATTTTCTTTACCAGCTGTAAGAAAAAGAAAAGCAACGCTGCTGGGAAGAGAAACTCAGTATTCCATGTTCATTTACTGCGGGCATGTTTGTTGGGTGTTTACTTTACAAGGTGAAACCAGATTTATGATGCGCATAGAGGGACGGGGGGCTATAGGATTCATTGAAAGGCTCTGTTTGGCATGCACAGCTGAAACTCAACCAACCCGACCCAGTCCCTTCTCTCCTCATTTTTATTTTGTGTTACTTGCTCTTGTGCCTTTGCATGCTACAGTGTCATGAAACAAATAAAGCCTCAGAATGGCTAAATGCGTGACCTTTGACCATCTATTTCAGAGCCGAGATCAGGGTGGGGACCCCAGCAAGCACCCATGGGCCAAGCCGGGGTGAGCGGACGCTCTTTGGTGTCAACTGTCTGTGTGTTTCCTTTATTTAAATATGAATCCTTGCATATTGGTGTGTGTGTGTGTGTGTGTGTGTGTGTGTGTGTGTGTGTGTGTGTGTGTGTGTGTGTGTGTGTGTGTGTGTGTGTGTGTGTGTGTGTGCGTGCAGGGGAAACACGCCGTTTGGCATTGACAGCATGCCAGACCTCCGCAAGAGGAGACCCATTCCTCTTGTTAGTGAATTGGTGAGTCCACGTCACGCGATGTCTGCCTCCTGACGCCATGAACCACACTTTACCTGATTAAAAAAAAGAGTTAATGGGAGCAAGTGTGTTGTCCAATAAACACCAAGTAATAAAAGCATATATCGAAGGTATATATATATATATATATATATATATATACCTTCGATATATGCTATATAATATATATATTTTATCGTATGAAGTGATATGAAAAGTTGTTTCTGATTTAATGAGGGGTTTTATATTCTATGGTGTTATCGGGGAATTGATCATGCATTCTTTATGCATAATACATTTAGAATTCCCATGAATGCCTTTCATTGACACACAAATTCGACAGATTCAGCAAGTTGAAGAAAATAGGAGAGTTAAAATAACATGGAGATGTTTTTGCAGTGTTTGTGATAATTACCATTATTTTACCTTTGCATATAATAGCGTTAAGTTGCGTATTGTAAAAAGAAAAAAAACAAGAATCTAAAATATGTCAACAAACATCATCAGCATTCATCCACAATGACTTTATCTTTGATGTATTCATTCACTAGGGACAAAATGCACGTTGCCTCTATGCACCCTGTTAGTCTTTCTTTCGCTCTGAGACTTTGTGCGTCCCCGACGTCCCTCACTGACCTCCCTCCACCTGCGAAAGGTCTCGCTAAGCAGCTGACACGTTGTCCCCTGCTCATTCGATCCTTTACCAATGTTTACTCGCCGGCCACGTAAATGTACCATGTGCACAATAATGTGTTTGTTTGTCTCTAACCTTTTCTTTCTGTTTGTTCTCTCTCCTTGCACCTCGCTGGTCCTCAGGCTATGGTGAGTAAAAGCAAAGGGGGGGTTCGGCTGCTCGACCGATGTGTTGTTGGGCTCCTTTGTGGAGTCTGTGAAAGCGCACACGCACACTCCTTCCCGTCTCATTGTTCTATTTAACAGAAATCACTTCATATTTTGGCGAATGCTTTCAGCAGATCAACGCTTTCTCTGATTGGTGCCTTAGCAACAAGTCCTTTTAATCAACGTCTTGCTGGAATCAAGAGCTCCACTTTTGAACGCGACCTTCGTCCCCAAACAGGCAGACGTGGGGGTAAATTGTGTGCTGAAGGTTCATCTGCTGGTCTGAGAGGTTAAGAGAACCCCCAGGCGCTGAGATGTGAGACCCTCGACGGGTCTGACTAAAGAGACCCTTGTCCTCTGATGTGACGTGGGCGCTCTGTTACTCATTATTATGCCCTTTATTACATTGAAGGGATCAAAAGGCCGCACATTACTGGAAGGAAACGTATCTGCCGTGAAGGTTGGAGCACCTCTGAACATATTGGGTTTTGATTAAAGTCAAACCGTTGTATGTTTCCTCAGCGTGCCACTATTTTTAACACGTTGTCATGGTTACACACAAGGTTAGTCAGCACTTTTGTGGCCAGCGTGTGAGTTTAGAGCCCTGATTCTATTTTCTCCTGCTGCTGCGAATGTCAGATTTAGACTTTCAGATTTCAGCCGCTTCAGAACTCATCGCATCAGGGCACCACGTTTGCCCCCCTCAGCCCAACCCTGCTTCATTGTATTTAAAGTCTGCATTTGTAAGGGCAATATGGACCCCGAAGCAAACGTCACATTTCAATTCATTGTTACAGCAGCAACACATTTGAGGCGAGAAAAAGCCAAAACAGGAACATAACATTTCACATAATTATAATCGCAGTTCGATCAGCGTGGTGATTGACAGCTGCATCTTGGCTCTCGTTGGCCGCTTTTCTTTGGGAAAGAGTGAAATCCAACAGATATCAGTGCGTATATGATCTCCCACTGAACACTGGAACTCTTTTAACTTGCGGGAAGTGGAAGCAGCCAGTGGAGCAGCAGCAGGCTCCTTTTAGCTGAACAATGTGCAGAGCTGATGAATCAATCAGTCTAACTTAAAGACGAGCGACTGCAGAGCCTCTTTCAGATAAATCAAAAACTGTGCTTCTATTTTAAGGACGTCTCTCCGGTGAATCACTCAATGAAATTGGAGGATTGAAGTATTTTGTTCATGCCGGAGATGACGAAGGGCCGTTAGATGCTGTCCAGACCTTCCTGCTGGCCACATTTCTCCCCTCAGATCCACAGACGTTATAGAACAACGACACCATTTGAGGGAATATATTGTGCAAAACGCAGGACAAAACATGGCAGCCATCGATTGCGAGTCGCTTTATTAATGCTCTGAACGTTGAACTCCACACATTTAGCACACGTTCACGCGTCTGTTGAAGTAAAGCTTCAGAGTGACGTCAGAAGGGGTGAAGCTCCTCTCAGACGTAGAAGCACCAACCTGTGGGAATAAAGGCGACGTGTTCAAACGGACAAGAAGAACAAACGTGCTGCCGACATCACACACAGAATCGATCCCGTGAATTATTTAACGGCGCAGATTTTTATTTTTTTTGTTATCTTTGACCCTGCTGGTGTGCTTGATCTTCTGGTGTTTCTCTCTCTCTCGTTTCCAGTCCATGATACAGACGAGGAAGGCCGGACTCGCCCACACGCTGTCCACACGGACCTCGCTGAAGGACGAGGAGCTCGTGAGCGGCCACACACACATTCATATATATATATATGTATATAAATACATATATATATATATAAAAATTATATATATATATAAATATATATACCTGTATATATATAAATATATATGTATATGTATAAATATATATATATATATATATGTATATAAAAAAATATATATATATATATGTATAAATATATATGTATATATATATATATATATTTATATACATATACATATATATCATCATATCCATCCATCATATATATCTGCTGTTGTTTTGATTATACCGTTTTGTGGCTGTTACCTCATGGGGACCCACTCAAACTGTCACTTGTATTTGCACACACACACACACACACACACACACACACACACACACTCTCCTCCTGCTGTCTTTATGCTGTTAATCTGTTTGTCGGCGATCTTCAGGTTTTTCTGTTCTCAAGGTGACGGCAGCTGACTCATTTAAGAGTTTAACATGAAAGCACCTTGATGACGTCGCTGTACAATTCCAGTAAACTAAATTCATCATGTTTTGAGGAAAATGTCTTCTCATGAATGTTGACATTACTAATATAAACATGGATGCACAATGTGTACCGTTATACCACAGTTATGTTATGCTGACCGATGACAGGAGCATTTATACAGAAACATTCTGACACTGAGCAGATAAAATGTCTTCATGTCGTTCATCCAGCTTTTTAATCACAATAACGCTGGCAGTAACAACGGAGCCAAAGTGGAAATCTCATTATCTTAAAGGGTTTTGTTTTTTAAAACACCAGATGCTTCACCGTGACAGACAATCAATCAGCGGTAAAAGCACAAACGAAGAAAATAAAGTCAGGAGGCCAAACGATTGATCGATGAAAGTCACCGCTGTTAGATTCACTGAAACCAACAACAGAATGAACGTTTTCTCTTGTCGAAGCCGTGTCCCCTGTTTACGTCCCCCGTCTCCTCCATCCCTCCCGTCTCCTCCATCCCTCCCGTCTCCTCCATCCCTCCCGTCTCCTCCATCCCTCCCGTCTCTCTTTTGACCCGACAGAAAAACCATGTGTACAAGAAGACGCTGCAGTCGCTGATCTACCCCATCTCCTGCACCACGCCGCACAACTTCGAGGTGTGGACCGCCACCACGCCCACCTACTGCCACGAGTGCGAGGGTCTGCTGTGGGGCATCGCCCGGCAGGGCATGCGCTGCGCCGAGTGCGGCGTCAAAGTGCACGAGAAGTGCCAAGAGCTGCTGAACGCCGACTGCCTGCAGAGTGAGCGGAGTTATTGAACTGGGAGGAGGAGAAGCAGCACCTCGTGTGGCGTCCGTCATTTACTAAAGATGCCGGCGTCACTTCTCGTCCGCTTCCCTCCTTGTCGCCTCCAGGAGCCGCCGAGAAGAGCTCCAAGACGGGAGCGGAGGACCGCACGCAGCACATCATCATGGCCATGAAGGACAGGATGAAGATCCGCGAGAGGAACAAGCCGGAGATCTTCGAGGAGATCCGGAAGGTGTTCAACGCCCCCCGGGTGATCCACGTGCAGCACATGAAGACCGTCAAGCAGAGCGTCCTGGACGGCACCTCCAAGTGGTCGGCCAAGATCGCCATCAACGGTACGTCCAGCACTGAGGACCGGGTTAAACACGTCTTAGACAACAGGAGGTTTGCAACATGTGTCTTTACACTGTCTCTCTATTTATTTATATGGCTGGAAAAAACCCACATTTGCCTCATTAGTCTACGCGACGTTGTGTACTCGGAGTACTGTTTCTCTCTTCACTCCCAATCATCTTTTATTTAAATAAATTGAACCATCGAAGGCAGTAAAAAAAAAAGATGCATTTATGAGCAAGACTGACAAAACTGCTGAACAGTGAGACACAGTCCTTCACTTCCTTCCTTCTCGGCATGCAAACCGGCTGCAGCGCGTTTAGTTCATCGTCCAGCCGGACTCAAAGATGAGCTGGTAACAATTACAGAGGTCGGAGGTCACTTCGACCTCCCGAAAAGAGCTTTTAACCCCACAATGAAAAATTGCTTGTGCTGATTGCGACGACTTCACATAAATGTCCAATCGGTGGTGACATTTTGGACGCAGATGAATGTGATCTGGTCGGCGGAGGCAGTAATTCTACATTAGTATAAAGTACTGATAAATGAGTACAGCTCATCTAGTGCTTGCAAAGTACTTATTATTCAGCTAATTGCTGTGTGAGTGTTTTCTCAGTAAAACTGAGGAATCAAAAGGAGAGCCATGGAATGACAGACCCAGCGAGCTCTTCTATGGTTTAAACTCCGCCGCACTCCAGAGCGCTGAAGGAAGCGGCGTGTGAGAATGTGTGAGCTGCTTTTGAACCAAGTGCTCCACGTCCGCGAAGGTTCCTCTTCCTCTCGGCGAACCAGTTCATCTGCGAGCGTAACTAATCCGAACAGACACCTCCCCTTCGCCAAACATCTCAGCCCCGGTTGCCGGAGCAACCACACACATCCCGCCATATAGTGGCAGCAAGTGTTGCCATGGCAGCCATCACACCTTGTCTCCCCGATCACCGGGGGATGAGAGGGTTCTGGGGGGGGGGGGGGGCTTCCGTTAAAGAGGCGTTTGTTTTGTCATTTATTAAACTGCTTTACGATTCCACTTTAGCGTTATTTTATAACATCGGTGTGGTGGATTTGTGAAGTGGGCTCATCTCCAATGTTTGCTTGTAACCCCTTCAAAGGGAACCCTTGTGCGATGATTCATGAGAAAAAACCCACATATTATAGTTCACATCGTTTCTGTTTTTGCCTTCTAGCTTTCTGGAGAAAAGTCTTGACAAACTTTCCACGACAGGCCTCCAAAAATCAGCTACGAGCGTTGTTTGAAATTTTTCCTATTTTCCTAATTTCCTCCACCATTTACATAAATCAGTCACGTCCCCATCTGAAACGCATGCAGGCCCGACTTTCAACTCAAACTCAAACTCTGTTTCGTAACGAAGCCGAGCTGTGATTTGAACTTGATGGAGGACTGACAGCAGACGCTCTGCAGACAACTCTTTGAAGAGCGCGTTGATTTCATTCGGGAATATTCCAACCAATTAAGATGCAGAACTGCCTGTAGGACAGATTACAGGCAACGAATGAAGCGCTCTCACAGACATGTGACACGTCACGGGTCGCGTGGCGTGATGTTGATTTAGCCCGTGAAAGAAGTCAATGAGCTTAAACAGCACCTGTTGTTTCCAAAGGACAAATACAGTCTTTATATTACGTTTTGTGCACTATGGCACATTATGTTTGAATTGGATTTCCTTTTCAATGCTGGATGAAATCAACTTAAATGTGTCCTCATTTCATTTTGTGCTTCAATTGGCTCCTGACTCTCGGAACCTGACCTCCGGTCAACGTTTACAGGAAAGGATCCCAATCAGCCGATGCTCTGGATTCTACAAACAACGCGTGAATTAGTGCGTTTTAGAGGAGCGCTTTGTCCTCTTTGGACAAGGACCTGTGTCCCTTTTGTTTCCAGTCTTTGCAACGTTACACACACACACAAAGCACGGGGACGCTTGGTTAAAACCCCTCAAACGACCTTCCTGTCGCCCGGTCACCTTCCATCCCAAAGACACGTTCCTGGCTCAAAAGGGGTCGACCCTCAGGAACATTTTTCTTTCCCTTTCGATCCAATGGGAGGCAACGCACACTTGCCGCGTTGAGGCTGTTTGAGTCGCTTGTTGCTCTTTTGACAGACATTCAACCCGAAATGATTCAAATCTGCCTGTCGGCTCATCCGTTCCACTCGCGTTCTCTGTGGTGAGGTCAGCTCCATGTTCAGGAGGCCTCCTGGGACACCTGCTCCAACCGTTGTTGGAGTCATGTGGTGAGAAATGTCGGCCTGTGAGTCACCGGCGTTACGAGGCTTTGCATAACTGCGTGGGCGATGCCTTGTGCGTGAACGGGACGGGAGTGCGGTTGGCAGCGAGTAGGTGTTGTGTTGCGTTGTTACGCAATTTGTTCACCTGTGTGTGTGTGTGTGTGTGTGTGTGTTTGCAGTCGTCAGTGCGCAGGGTCTCCAGGCCAAGGACCGGACGGGCTCCAGCGACCCGTACGTCACCATCCAAGTGGGGAAGACCAAGAAGAGGACGAAGACCATCTACGGAAACCTCAACCCGGTCTGGGAGGAGAAGTTCAGCTTGTGAGTTTTCTTCCTGGTTGTGAAGCAAAGTCATAGCTGGTAGACCTGAGAGTAAAGGTTCTTCCATGGTGGGAGAAGGCCTCCTGAAGACCAGTGCTTCTCATCATATTTATTGGAACATGGAGTCCTATTAGACACCAGTAAAGGTACGCAGCGACTTCAAGCCTCCATCAACCTTGAAGGTCCTGATGGTCCTAAAATCAGACCTCAGTAGTCCTGCAGGAGTAGATGTTTCCTTACTGTATTTATAGTGACAAGATAATAGAACTTTTTAAAGTAGCTGAAGGCATAAACAACATGTACGTATGACACACAGCATGATTAAAGTGTACGATGTGGCGTAATCATTCCGATGACTTTAACGCCAGCGAGTGCCACAACTCGTCGGACCGCATCAAGCTGCGCGTCTGGGACGAAGACGACGACATCAAGTCGCGAGTGAAGCAGCGGCTGAAGCGGGAGTCCGACGACTTCCTGGGACAGAGCATCATCGAGGTCCGGACCCTCAGCGGGGAGATGGACGTGTGGTACAACCTGGGTGAGTGCTCAGAGCCGGGGCGCGTGGTGTGTCATTGGTGTGTGTGTGTGTGTGTGTGTGATTGGTGTGTGTGTGTGTGTGTGTGTGCGTGTGGATTTGCTCATTAGCTCAGCAGCCGGAGTGCTTCCTGCTTTAGATGTCGTAGATCTGATTCATCTGAGGTTCAACTCTGAGCGCTGTGTGTGTGTGTGTGTGTGTGTGTGTGTGTGTGTGTGTGTGTGTGTGTGTGTGTGTGTGTGTGTGTGTGTCTCCACTTGCAGAAAAGAGAACAGACAAGTCGGCGGTGTCTGGTGCCATTCGTCTTCAGATCAGTGTGGAGATCGAGGGGGAGGAGAAGGTGGCCCCCTACCACGTGCAGTACACCTGCCTTCACGAGGTGACACACACACACACACACACACACACATTTAACGTCAGCAATAAGCTGATTAAAGACGTTTCTGGGGAACTATTACACACACACGTGCACCCTGGAGTCCATTGTGAGTTCTCCATAGAGAACAAAACCGGGCAACAGGAAGTCACAACAGCATCGAACTGAAATACGTTCCCTATCGTTTAGTCTATAAATAGTTCAAACCAAGTAAAACATGTTGACGGGAACTTGTTCGAATATCATATTTTGTCCAACCAGCAATATGCAAGAGGATCAACAATTGAAAATGACATGAAAGGGTGAAAAACCTCAATTAAAATCGTCTGTCTTGTTGTCGTACTTTAACCGCCAAGTCAAATTGCTCAGGATCCTGATTCCTGAACCTGAACCAGTTTAGTCCGCTATGCGCTTCCATCAGTAATCCTAAATCCCGTCATCTGTGCCACTGGGTCTGAAAACCAGATGACATCATGCAGGTTCACCAGAAGCTCCTCCAGCTCACGACACGATCAACACAGAATAAAGCTTCCTCGTTGTGTCCTTGAGGACTTTTCTCCCAACTAATTCACATCCTTTTTTTAATTCAACAAACTGCTCCTGACTGCTGAGCGTGTTTATTCTGCTCGTGATGACCCCCCCATAGAACATGTTCCACTTCTCGACGGACGTGGAGGGGGGCGGCGTGGTGAAGATCCCGGCGGCTCACGGAGACGACGCCTGGAAGGTTTACTACGACGAGGTGAAGCAGGACATTGTGGACGAGTTCGCCATGCGCTACGGCATCGAGTCCATCTACCAGGCCATGACGTAAGCTCCGCCTCCTCCCCCCCCCCCCCCCACGGGGTTAATCCAAAAAGGAAACACTTGAAATGAGTGTGTGTCTATAAACAACATGCATATTAGTTCATCACATCCAGATTGGATCATGGTCCGCAGGGGGAGGGAGACACACACACACACACACGTATTTATACACATGGGTTAATTACATTAATAATGTTGTAATTTGACCCCAATGAGACAGACGGGGTCCTTGCGTCGGTGGTGTGTTGATTCAGGAGCATCATCTTAGGAACACCATCAGGGGGGGGGGGAGCATTCAGGGGAGTTGTGAGCAGAATTAAAGTTGTGTCCCCAGAGGAAATGATCCAATAACACGGGCGAATGGAAACAGAGCCGTTAGAGGCACTTTGTTCCTCCGTATGAGGGTCTGCTTTTGTGGATCCCATCACGTGGCAAAATACATTTTCTTTTTTTTTTTAATGAGAACACAAATATTCATTATATTTTTCTTTAGTTTTAACAGTGAGGCAATGCGTGAACGAGGAAATGTATACTTCAGGATTTTCCTTTTTGAAATACTACTAGTACTGCCACTACTAATACTACCACTACTCAAAGCATTGTATTTTCATGTCTTACACATGTCTGGAAAGGATTTTAACATGATACAAACAAAATAAATTATTTAAGAATAATACACAATAATTGTTTTTGACATTTTTGAAACGTTATTTTGCATCTCCATAATTGTTTTAATTAAAATCAAATTATTTTTCATCTTCTAAAATAAAAAATAAAATCCATCCATCAATCAAATCCATCAATGTGGAGTCCCGTCCTCTGTAGCGCTGCATCCATAAGCCTTGTTGAGAAAAAACACAATTTACACAAGTGGCCATGGTTACAATGGCCTTTCTTTACGAAGCTTAGAGAACACAAACGTTTCACCAAAATGTGTTTTCTGAAGCCATTAGAAGCGAGCGATTAGCCGCTCAGCTCCTCAATCCGGCTCCATTTTGAATCGACGGCGGGCGTTTAACCGCCGCCCGTCCCCCCCGGTGGGCCGCGTGGTGCCGTCACGCTTAAAACAACCAGGGCGCCTTTCCTGTTGTCAAGTTAATCGCTTTGATCCTGATCAAAAGTCTGGTTGCTTCTGTTAAAAGCTCAAAGCGCTCGAGGAGGAGCTCTGTGGCCGATAACCACGGCGCTGTGCGCGCTGTTGATCCACCGCTTTCACATCTACACTGAATTCATCTTCCTCCTGCTGACCTTCCCTTCTCTTCTCCCCCTCCCCAAACAGCCATTTCTCCTGCCTGTCCTCTAAGTACATGCTGTCGGGGGTGCCGGCGGTGATGAGCACCCTGCTGGCCAACATCAACGCCTTCTACGCCCACCCGACCGCCTCCACCAACGTCTCCGCTCCGGCCAGATTTGCAGCCTCCAACTTCGGGGTGAGTGACGGGGCGGATAAGACAGCGAGACGCGTCCGGGGTCAAATGGGGATGCGAGCGCTCCCCTGGCGTCCATTTCTACACTACACGCATGCTGCGGCTTTTCACAATAAGTTACCGCTGTTTTGTGCATGAAAACAGGAAGTCGCCTCTCGCTTGACTTGATCGCACCGGATCCAACGATTTTCACTCTAAAACTGTTCTAATGTTCTGCAAGCATACAGTTGATTTCTTATTTTTTTGCATGTTTGTCACACTTAAATGTTTTAGCTCATCAAACAAATTTAAATATTAGACAAAGATAACACAAGTAAACACAAAATGCATGTTTTTAAATGAAGGGTTTTATTATTAAGGGGAGAAAAAAATCCAAACATGGCGAGTGTGAAAAAGTGATTTAAGCCGGTTTATCACATCTTTGGAAAGCTGAGTGGGATTTCTCCAGCCACAGACGTTTTCAATCAAGAAATCACTTAAATTGGACCTGCCTGACAAAGTGAAGTAGACCAAAAGACCCTCAAAAGCGAGACATCATGCTGCGGCCCAAAGAAATTCAGGAACAAATGAGAAAGTCATTGAGGTCTATCAGTCTGTAAAAGGTTACAAAGGCATTTCTAAAGCTTTGGGACTCCGGCGACCACGGTGAGAGCCATTATCCACAAATGGAACAGTGGTGAACCTTCCCAGGAGCGGCCGGCCGGCCAAAATTACCCCAAAAGCGCAGCGACGACTCATCCAAGAGGTCACCAAAGACCCCAGAAGACCATCCAAAGAACTGCAGGCCTCACTTATGGTTCATGACTCTGGGCAAAAATGGCCTGTGTGGCAGAGTTCCAAGACGAAAACCACTGCTGAGCCAAAAGAACACCAAGGCTCGTCTCAGTTTTGCCAGAAAACATCTTGATGATCCCCAAGACCTTTGTGAAAATACTCTTTTTGGGACACACCATTATGTGGCGTAAAAGCAACACGGCATTTCAGAAAAGGAACATCGTACCAACAGTAAAATATGGTGGTGGTGGTGCGACGGTCTGGGCCTGTTTTGCTGCTTCAGGACCTGGAAGACTTGCTGTGGAAAATGGAACCATGAATTCTGCTGTCTACCAAAAAGTCCTGAAGGAGAACGTCCGGCCATCTGTTCGTGACCTCAAGCTGAAGAGCACTTCTGGTTCTGCAGCAGGACAACGATCCAAAACACACCAGCAAGTCCACCTCTGACTGGCTTAAGAAAAAATAAATGAAGACTTCGTCAGGCCTCGTCAAAGTCCCGACCTGAATCCGATTGAGACGCTGTGGCGTGACCTTAAACGGGCGGCTCATGCTCCAAAGCCCCCCAATGTGGCTGAATTACCTCAATTCTGCAAAGTTCAGCTCCACAGCTGTAAAAGACTCATTGCCAGTTATCGCAGACGCTTGATTGCAGTTGTTGCTGCTGAGGCCCAACCAGTTATTTGGGTTTAGGGGGCTTCACTTTTTCACTCAGGGCCGTGTAGGTTTGGATTTTTTTCCCCTCTTAATAATAAAAACCTTCATTTAAAAACTGTGTTTAAAATTTAAAATGTTGTGTTTACTTGTGTTATCTTGTCTAATATTTAAATTTGTTTCATGATGTGAAACATTTAAGTGGGACAAACATGCAAAAAAATAAGATATCAGGGCGGGGCAAACACTTCTTCACGCAATTGTATAAAGTTAAACAATCTTAAGTTACACTGCCGGTTTGTAGCCGAGGTCTAATCCTGCAGGACGGATCGTAAACTGCGGTTGTGTTTCTCTCTGCTTGTGGCTTTTTATTGGATTTTTCTATCAATTATATATTTGAATTAAAGATGCAGCATATTGCACCACAATTACAGGTTCATTTGTTAAAATACAGACGTGCGTTTGAGGTGCTCGTCCTGTTTCTAGTGAATTCCACATTTACCTTCAAACCGCTTTTACCCTGAAGAAAATGCTCTCTTATTGATTATGGGAGATTACACAAAGGGCTCTTAGTCTGTCACCGATTTAAAAAGATAAATGCTGCTCTCTGGAAGCCCGATGGAGATCTTACAGGACGGAGCTCAAACAAAAGCAGAGCCACAAAAGAAAAAGGCCTTCTTTACTGAGTGAAAGCCGTCAGACCACATGTGAAAAAAATGTAATTTTACCTAAAAGAAGGTGTAGCTTCTGGTTTACAGCTGGCATAATTTAAGCATTCGTCCTCCTTTTTGGAGTTTTGGACCAAAGAGCCGCGTTATAGAAGATTTTGCCGGAACGCAGTCTAACAAAATGATTGACTAAAATTCACCTGCGTCGTGGAACCAGAGATATTTTGTGATTCGCCCACATTACGGGGATGAAGCCCGGGCTACTGAGTCCTCAGCCTCACTAAACGCCGCATAGTGTCCGTTAATGAGACATGTAGTGGTTTCCCGCCGGGTAGATTAATCCCTTCATTCACCTCGTTTGCGGAATTGAGTTGTTATTCATTGGTGTTTTCAGCAGACTTGTCCGTCCTGGTTTGTTTAAAGAGAACCGCGCTAACGGGGGTAATTAATGCACGACTCATCGTGTGTGGATCATTGATCGTGACGCGTCGTAGACTCCAGGATCGTGGACCGGCGTCACACCTCTCGTGAACAAGGGAACATGGCTCATCAACTTCGTTAATATCGTTGATTTGTCATTCACAAATCACAATAAATCTCACTCTAAACATACAGAACACATACGAGCTTCCTCCTTCACTTTTTAACTTCATTGCTTTTTTGTGTGTGTGTGTCTGTGTGTTGCGCTTAATAATTCAATGTACTAATTGCCATGACAACAAGCTGACACCCAATTACCACAAACTGAAACAGAGAATTTAATCTTCACTTCAGAATAATGTTCAGCACAACTTGAACATTATTCAGAGGTATCGTCAGTAAATAAGGTAAAATATCACCGAGCGCTTTGGCACAAGCAGGGGAAGGGAGTGTTTGGGGAGTTCTCCCTCCATCTGCTTCCTCTTTCCTCTCATGTGGAACCAAACTCATCTCCCTGCTTTGCTTCGGCCGCCACACGGGGAACACGAGAGACACAAACCCCCCCGGAGCCCAAAAGAGTCCGTTCAATGGTTCCGGCCATCGGGTTTATTGGTCGTTTACGCCTCTCGATGTCGGCCATCTTTCAGCCTTTCATCCGAAGACTAAAGACTAAGGGGAAACCTTCCAGTATGGTAACATTGCACAAACTAATTGTTGTGCTTCGCAGCCACGACTCCCTACTTTTACAAAGGAAACAGAGCAAAGCATTGCTATGATTTTAATACTTTTATTAGCATTCGTATTCCAGCATGTTCATAGATCATTTGTGTGAAAACGATTCATTAAAACAATCAATTTTTGTATTTGTTGCTTGCCCGTCCTCACTGCTTCGTCGCCGTGTTTCTTGGCGCCATCGACTCTCAATAAGTGGATTAGTTGTGTACCGGTGATGCCAGATTGGGTTCCGTTCTGGCCAAGAGGGCTACTTTTAACTTAAGTTGGCGAGGCGAAGCATCAGCCGGCTCTATTTTTGCTGCTTTTGTCAACATTTATAAATATTACCGTACCAGCTATCGAATTATCGTCAAAAACCTAGATACAAAATTCACTCGACTTTGTTGTGTCCTCTCACTCGGATTGTAGATGTAAGTGTTGTATTAAGAATCTGCTTCACTCACCGAATTTAACATGAGCATTTGTGTATTTGGTTGTCTAACTGCCCACTTTGTAGGTGGCAATAACTATTATTAATAATATTTACTGTCCCTTTATCGTTGGTTATGTTCTGCAGGTATGAAGCTTTAGTTTATATCAGTTTCGGAAATGCCACCAATACAACTTAAACTGCATCCCGTGGTGACATTTTCGGACACAAATACCTGCTAAAATCTGAAGGAGAGCCAGTTGATGTTAGCTGCTAGCTGTTAGCCATTAGCCGTTAGCCGTCAGCTGTTATTTGTTAGCAGCCAGTGGGAGCACGGTCCTGTTTGGCTCAATAAGGCAGCTAACAACTAACACTAACTAAAATATAAAAGAGACAAGAGTTCTGGTTCTGGATACTCGCGTAGCTGAAAGGTTTTCATATGCGGAATGATTGTGTCTCTGTTTCGCCGTATTTCCCTGTAGTATTTGAGTCCTTTTGTCCTCTCGGCTGAAGGTTCTCTCTGCTCTTTGTCTTCTCTCGTTCCCACAGAGGGATCGCTTTGTGAAGCTGCTGGACCAGCTGCACAACTCGCTGCGTATCGACCTCTCCATGTACAGAGTGAGTCCGAAGACGTCCTTCAGTCCCTGCCGGACATGTCCTCGGTTAAAAACGCTTCCCTCTCCGCTGCTCAGATGTTGTTTGATTTCCTGTCTCTTTCCAGTCTATTCTGGGCGTCACAGGGGGGGTTTGTGTAGTTTGTGTCGGGGTTAATTTTGAAACTGTTTGCCTGAAAACGGTTGTGCAATAAATTAAAATGCTGACGACTAAAATGCTGAACTAAAAAGAACAACCATGATTGAAAAAGGAAATAAATCCTAAGAAAAAATGTCTTAGTCCAAATGCTTAGCTGACTTGTTTAACAAGTGTGTGTGTGTGTGTGTGTGTGTTTGTGTGTGTGTGTGTGTGTGTGTTTGTGTTTGTGTGTGTGTGTCTACAGAACAACTTCCCAGCCAGCAGCAAGCCCCGCCTCCATGACCTCAAGTCAACGGTGGATCTTCTCACCAGCATCACCTTCTTCAGGATGAAGGTAGAAACTTCGCAGCAGCTCAAAAAAATTATAATAATGTGATGTATGAAACGATTTGGATGGACATCTGAAACAAAAACACGTAACTGGCATTGGTTTCCATTTATTCTATATATATATATGTAGCAATGGATACTAACTTTCCATTGCACTCTTTCTGATTAAATTGCTCCTCGTCTTTATTTGACTTATTGACGCTTGAAGGCAAAGTGCTTTATATAAAACTACGATGTATTTCCTTTTGATTTTACTCTCCACACCACTGGAAACTATTCCCCTCAGATTTGTATAAAAGTCAAGAAAAATGAAGGCAGATTTATTGCGGCAGAAGCCAATTACATGACAATTGTAGCAAAAGCTCTACACTTACACACTTACATAACATGCAGTCTCCACTCAACCGACTCTTCAAAATGCCAAAAATTGGCAGTATTTTGGTCATTTTTGTGTGAGAGAAGAGCTGCAGGATAGATTTCATTCTCTTACTAATGTGTGACTTCAGCCTTGTTATAAAGATTGATTCCACAGTGGAGGACGGATTAAAGGTGCTTGTTTTAACCAGAATCCACTCAGTACGGTTTGTTTGAGTCGCTATGAAAGCTGCCCAATAGACTCTTGTGTCAACCAGTAAATAAAAATGAGTGTTAATGGAACATACTATTAATTAGTGTTGGTCCTGATGATGCAGGATGACGAGCGACAATGTTGTGGGAAAGAAGAAAAAGTCTCAAAATATAAGACATATCCAGATGTTATGGAAAAAGGGGTCTAAAACATTAGGTCAGAAAATAAATTTACCCATAAGTGCTTTATGAAAAAGTATGAAAATATTTGGTTGAAGTTGAAGAATTGTTGAATAATTTATATTAGGTTGAAAAAGTCCAAAAATATTTTGTTAAAAAACGTCCAAATATACGATGTTGAAAAGATTTGGTGAAAACCGTCAAACAAATTTGAAAAACAAGAATTTGTCAAAAAATATCAAAATATTAAAAGTCTGGACAAAGACCTCGTATTCCCCAGTAAAGTTTTTTAATAGGCCCGCGCACCCAGAACCAGTTCAGAATTTACTGTACAAACGATCCATTAGTTTTTTTTTGATTTGGCCCCAAATGGACCAAAATGTCCACAACCCATTTACTGATCGGGCTGACCAATGCACCGTTGCGTCCCGCCTCCTGCAGGTCTGGGAGCTGCAGAGCCCCCCCAGAGCGGCTCATGTGGTCGGGATTGCTTCAAGCCCCGCCTGACTTCCCCCTACGAGTCTTCTTCAACACCTGCCTGGAGCTCTTTAACCGCCAGTTTCCAACCCGCCGTTCCACGGTTGAGCGCCTGAGCATCGGCGCGGGGCAAGGGATTCTGCGGGGGGGGGGGGGGGGGGTCGTCCCACCTCTCGCCTTGCACTCTGGGATTAATGGCGTGAAAATACTCTCTAAGATCCTGGATTTCCTCCATTTCAAGTCTAGTAAAAAAACATGTAATATTTCTCCTTCAGCCCAAAAAAATATCTCAAGAACAATGAATATTTATTAGTGTGCCCGGAGGGATTCCTGTCTTAATATGAAGATACGCGTTATGTGCAGAACTTGGTGAACATGAAGCTGTAACAATCAATATCGTAGAGGAAGGTTATAGTTGTAAATTATTCTCTACAGATCATTTATTGAGATTACAACTCTTAAGCAATGAAATGTAGTTCTGTTCTTCCCTTTGTTCCATAAAAGCTGGAATACATTTTTAATGATCTGTCTCTTTCCCTCTCGCAGCCTGAGCCTGAGAAGAAGATGAAGAAGAAGAAGAAGAAGGAAAAAGTGGAAGGAGAAGAGGAGGGAGACAATGTAGATGAAGAAGAGGAGGAGGAAGAAGAGGAGGAGGAGGAGGAGAAGAAAGAGGAGAACCAGCAGGAGGAGCAGGGCCCGAGCATCCAGAATCTGGACTTTTGGCCTAAACTCATCACGCTCATGGTCTCCATCATCGAGGAGGACAAGAACTCCTACACTCCCATCATCAACCAGTCAGTGCTTCCATCTTCTCTCATACGTCCCCATTTACACTACGTCTTATTCAATTAAGGGAATGATGCAACCATCGATTTGTATGATGTGGAATTTACAGCAACTCACAACCGCTAGTTGGGAAAATAACAACATGTGAGACTAACAACTGGTTTAAATCAGTTCCACCACCGTTCATATTTAAAACAACATATAACCTTAAAAAAAGAGGAGGATGAATGCAGTTTATTTTGATTTGTTAACGTTAGTTAGTCACTTGAAGGAAGCTCTCACTAGCAGGTCAAACAATTCAAACTACTGTCCGTCTGAACCTCAGGTTCCCTCAGGAACTGGATGTGGGGAAAGTGAGCACGGAGGTCATGTGGAGGCTGTTCGCTCAGGACATGAAGTACGCTCTGGAGGGTAAGGCTGTGTGTGTGTGTGTGTGTGTGTGTGTGTGTGTGTGTGTGTGTGGGTCAGGGAAGGCTAAACGGCTAACAAACCGAGCCGCCATTTCATCCCCTCTGCATTCATTCTTCACTCTCTTCCCTCCGTCTCCTCCAGTCTTGTTTCAGGTCGACTACCGCCGCTGGAACAACGGTGAGATTTTAGACAAAGACGCAGTCAGAACCATCAAAAGCTCGAGTCTAACATCTGACTCTATAGCGTGATGGACCCCCCCCCCCCCCCCCGTAGTGCCCCACATTACTGTGAGTCCCTCCTCAGTCCATATTGTGCCTCCTGGCTGTGTGTCACGATGCAGCAGAAGAAGCTGTGGACGCCAGCGAGTCCTGAGACGTTGTCTGGCGCTCGGAGCTCAGTCACTTTCCTTTCTGACACATTTGACTGCTGAGAAGTCCCTCAAGAGACTGTATTAGTTCCCCGAAACCTCCTCCATCAGCGGCTCCCTGACGTTATACATGTGTGTGTGTGTGTTTCCTCCCCTTTCATCGTGTTGAACATTTCTCCTTTTCCATTCTTCCTTCTGCTCTCAAACCCGCCTCTTCTTCCCTCTCTGCTCTCCCACTGCTTTGTTTTCTCGTTCTGTTGGCATCTCAGCTCCCGCCACATTTCGCATCCGCAGAGTTGATTTTGACGCCGGTAAGACGAGCGTGTGTGTGTGTGTGTGTGTTTGTGTGTGTAATTTTAATTAGTCATCCGTAGCGGAGATTCACAACCTTATTTGAACCGTGTTTAACAAAGACAACAGGAGGAGGAGGACGCTTTTGTTTTTGGGCCTAAATATCTCTTTGATTTCCTCTGGAGATAAAACATGATGTTGACTCCAGATGTGTCAAACATTTGAAACAATGCAGAGGTGCTCTTCCCTGAAGAATCCCACTCGATAGCAAATTAGAGACGTGTGTTTATTACCAGCAAAGGCAACGCGCCTAAAACCCTGCACGAGGACAGGTGTGTTGTTCCAGGTTCAGACTAAAAAGGCTCTTTTGTTCTTGTACCACTTAAATTCTTTTTTATGCTTCTCAAATGTAAGAATTCATGTGGAGCTAAACGCTAAGAGGGGATGTTTCCTTTTCAAGTAGTAATTCGAGTAGCAATGTCATCATATCAGAGGTGCATCAGTGTCCACGCTAGTTTGTGTTAGCCGTTAGCAGTTAGCCATTAGCTCTTAGTTCTTAGCCATTAGCTCTTAGTTCTTAGCCATTAGCTCTTAGCTCTTAGCTCTTAGCTGTCACCCCGTACGCACCGTCCAAAAATAACGAAAAGTGAGCTGCTGCGTCTCTGCGAGAGGAACCCGGAGAACCCGGAACAGAACCCGCGGCGGCGCAGGGGAACCGACGCCGATGAGTCCGCGGCGCTCACCAGAAACTTCTGCTGCCTATTTGAGTTTGTTTCCGTCTGGTTTTTGTTTTACAGAACACGAGAAGCATAAACTGTGTAAGACCGCCGACTACATGAACCTGCACTTCAAGGTCAAGTGGCTTTACAACGAGTACGTGAAGGACCTGCCGACCTTCACGGACGCCGTGCCGGAGTACCCTGCGTGAGAAACACACACACACACACACACACACACACACACACACACACCTTTCTCTGCCTCCTTTAGAATACAGGGATTCATCTTGCTTCATCATTCCCGCTTCTTCATTGAGAATTACAGTCTTTTTAAATACACGTCATCCACACTCTCACACTCCCCTCGCTTGGTTTGGACGACACAGTAAAAGTCAAAAGAACAAAGTGACAGCAGGATTTACGTGGTTTAGGACAATATAGTCAATTAAAAGAATAGATTTCACAAATTACATGATACAATAAAACAAGCAAACAAATAAAACAGATGAGACACGTTGGAACGTTCATTAAAAAAGGAATTAAAAGCTTTATAATTTAACAACAGATTATCTATTTTGCTGGTCCAGCTCAAAGAGCAGATGCCTTGTGGTTCCAGGTGGTTCCTCCCGTTCGTCCTGGCCTGGCTGGCTGAGAACGAGGACGTGTCCATGGAGTTCATGCACGGGGCGCTGGAGAGAGACAAGAGGGAAGGGGTGAGTGTCTTCAGCTGGGCATAAAAGTGCACTGTTGTTTTAAAGTAATTTGCAGTCTTAAGAGTGTCGGTGGGATGAAGTGAACGTCTACAGCGAGAAATATAAAAAAGCCAATTTCATCGCGCTGCAGCTTAGCGGATCACTGGAACATTTCCACCTCTCAAAGTGTGCAGAACGATCCATGTGCAGCTCCGTCGGTCACTTACTGAAGGAAACCAACAAGCTTCTCAAGCATTGTTGGGGCTCATATGGAGCATCCATTTCTCCTGGATTGATTAGCGGATTGTTGGGTATTTATTTGTAGTGGAGCTCATTGATGATTTCAGATGTATAAAACAGTGAGTCTCTGTGCTCACAGTTACTCTCCTGTAGTGTTTTAGAGAGTAGGAGGGATGAAGTGACTTACCAGACGCCAGAATGTAATGGAGGCAATGAGAGAAACCATTAGAGCGAGATGAGACCTCTCAGTCTGTGACGACTGCTGCTCCACACGCGCATCGTCTACAAATGCAATTAATCCACATCGGCTTCGCTTCCAATTGTGAAAACGCCCCAAAAACTGGAGGAGAAACAAAACCACAGTTCACAGTTCACACGTTGAAACCTACTTTGTTAAGCAGCAGAATCGTCTTTCACGTCTTGCGTGTGAAATTCTATTTTCTAATAATCGACCTTGGAGGATGCTTCTATTTGCCCTCTTAGACTAACAGAATTACTCACATGTGTCGTTCCCGGAGCGGCTGTTTCTCTTCAGGGAGCTCAGTTGTTGTCTGGGAGTTTTCTCGAGGTCGAAATCCTTCCTAAAGCCAAATATCTCCTCGTATCATTTATTCACCGCGAGGATACTGACACAAGGCTGCCGGTACACAGCTCAACGAGGGAGGGGAGGAAGTGCTGTCACCCTTTTTTCCCCCCTCTGCATCCGCTGGCTGTTTCTACACTGAAAGAGGAGCAGAGAACGTTTCAGACGTGTTTGCAGAAAGCGGACTGCTCACATGGTTCCTGCGTAACAAACCGTCTGTCAGGGCAACGTGCTCAAAGCCAGACGTCGTCGTTCCACGTTTCGTATTTCACTCTCTCTGAAACAGCCTGGTGGCCGGACACGCTTTGAATATGGGAGTCTGTTGGAGATGTTTCATGGAGCAACTGCTAGGTGCTTGCAGGCCCCCGTTGGCTCTTAAAGTACTTTTCTAAAAGAAAGACTCGGCCATCTGGGAAATATACCAATAAACACAAGCTCAAAAGGAACATTTAGCGGGTGAGTCTCTCCGAAGGACCACATGATTACTAATCATTTCAAAGGAATCATAATAATTGCGCTGGTCAGAGTTCCCTGAAATCACAGTAATTACAGCGGAGCAGCACTACGGGGGCGAGGAACATAAAAAAAGGAGTGGTTTGAATTATTGGGAGGACTAAAGTCAAATCGAGTCTCTGGGGCGTTCAGTCAAATCTTAAATCCTTGAGATGTTTCAGGTGTTTTTTGTAATTGAACCTTGGATGCCATATTTCTTTGGTTGTCTATCAGAGCTTTTCTCTGCAGAGAAGAAGTTCGTTGTGCGTTTGTTTTCGGGGGTTAAAACAGAGTCCGAGTGGCACCAGCGGGGTACAAAATGCCTCTTCTTCTCCCTCTTCTGCGCGCCCCCAGTTCCAGCAGACGTCGGAGCACGCCCTGTTCTCCAGCTCCGTGGTGGACATCTTCACGCAGCTCAACCAGAGCTTCGAGATCATCAAGAAGCTGGACTGCCCCGACCCGGCCGTGGTGGCCCAGTACAACCGGCGCTTCGCCAAGGTGAGCTTTAAAGACCGGCGTTGCCACCGAGGTAATCACATCTCCTGCTAAATGATTGTGTGAGGCGTCCTCGTGATCACAAACGGATGTTTAAAAAAAACCTCTCGGGAGCTTAAGAGTGACTCCTGCATCTTTTGAGCCTTTGACTTACCGGCCGGTGAGTTTTTCGGGTTTTATTATTGAACCTTCGATGCCTTATTTCTCCCTACGGACTTAATTTAAGGCAGTTGCTTTCAGGCCATTACATCTAACAAAGCTCTCGCTGCAGACAGACGTGTGTGTGTGTGTGTGTGTGTGTGTGTGTGTGTGGCGGCTCGATCAATATGGACTCATTAAATAAAGAATAGCTAATGTGAGCCATCACTCTGAGCTGCATCGCTCCCCCCCCCCTCCCCTCGTGGTCATGTCTCTCTCTGCTCCCCCTCTTAGCTGCAGTTTGTTCCATCTGTAACATCTGGGCGTCTCTCCATGGACTCTCCTTCCTTGTCTTCTCTTTGCTTTCAGATCTTCAATCTACATCTGACTCTATTTCTATGTTCTCTCTCTTTGCCACCCGCCAATCTTTGCACCCCCCCTCCCCCCTCCCCTCGGCCTCTGACCCGATATAACCTGACCTGATTATTTCATTATTTTTGGGAAATGTACAAGTTGACAGTAGAAGACAGACAGCTGCAGAAAAGGAGGGAAACCATTGTAAGTGACGCCCTGCTGACTCTGAGGAGACCTGTGGGGTCAAACTCCTCTTTGTCATTTCCTGTCACCAAGCAACCAGCGCTCAACCGCCGTCCCGTTCGGACGGACCACACGGGTGTCCCGCTCTCAACGTGCGTGTTGTCTTGTTCCCACAGACCATCACCAAGGTGCTGCTGCAGTACTGCGCCCTGCTGGCCAAGAGCTTCCCCTCCTACTGCGAGAAGGAGAAGATAGTGAGTATGCCGCCGCGTGGGAATGGGCTGTCCCTCTCTGCGTCCTTCACCCATGTGACCACCCGTTGTCCCCCCCCCGTCCGTCCGTCTTCCTGCAGCCCTGCGTGCTGATGAACAACGTCCAGCAGATGAGGGTCCTGTTGGAGAAGATGTTTGAGGCCATGGGAGCGAAACAGGTGAGCACACACACACACAGACACACACACACACACAATACACACACACGTCCTGCAACAGTGGTTCTCATCCACCTTCCACGGAGACCTGAGGTTTTCTCAATCCGACCTGCAGCCACTGATGAGCTCTTTCACAAACATTTTTATTCTTTTCTGGGGATTCGCTTTTTTATAAATGTAAAATGAATGTTTAATGCTTTGAAATACGATTCCAGGAAAAAAATAAGAACATCTTACAGCATCTTTTTTTTTTTTTTGTCTGATTCTTGGCGATTTCGATTGTTGACAAAACCCAATGTGTGTGAGTCGAGTATCCTTCTGGTGATTGGAGGACCTGATGCACGATCCATTTTCACATCACTTATATCCTCTTCCGTAGCTGAACCAGACATTTGAAAGAGAGCTTGTGACTGACTTCTTTTTCTATCACCCCAAAATGAAAGAGAGAACATTTTAGAGGCTGTAAAGAAGTAACATTTGTTGTAAAGACCAAATGGGCCTTTATCAGATCCACTTTGTGAGCCGTTTATCTTTAAAACAACCATTAATTCAAACATTTTCCAACCGACCGTATGCCAGAAATGTCCTCTTCCGCAGGAAAAGCCTGAGTTTTTAAAACAAAAGGGTACATTCAATAACTGCTTCTGGATTTAGGTCTTAAAGTTCTAACTTGGTTGTGAATGTCAGTCTGACCCGTTGGCTTCGTCCTGATCGACTTTGCGTCGGCGTCGTTTACTTCAAGATCTGCGTCCATGTAGCAAAGCAATGGATCCCGTTCGAGGACCATTTCACCGCCGGCTGCGACGCCGGGCCGCTCCAGGTCATAGCCGGACCCATTCGGGTCCACTCGCGGCTGTGACGTCTGTGAGTCATCGGTTGTGTTCACGACTAAATGTGTGTGTTAATCTGAGTAAGGTGAGAGTGTGTGTGTGTGTGTGTGTGTGTGTGTGTGTGTGTGTGTGTGTGTTTCTCTCTCCAGTTGACGGCTGAGGAGGAGATGGTACGTCTAGGTTTCTTCTCCCCTTCCCCCGTTACGCCTGGAAAACAAACTAGTTCATGAAAGCAAAAAGCCGCCCCGAACCCCCGCTGTGTGTACCAGTCCGTTTGTAGTTTGAGCCCAATTTACCTGTCAACTCTTCCTCCTCCTCCTCCTCTTTTCTAGACTCCCTGTACTCACAGAAATAGACGTTTTTCTTTCCACCTGACACGATATATGTAAAAAAACTGTTTTTCTTCACGTTGCTGCTTCTTTCCAAAAGCTGGAGAACGAGGAGGAACCCGAGGAGTTAGACGAGGAGGTGCGTCGCAACTTGCAACCTCATTATAGGTGTTATAACACGCCTATAACAACACGATCCTGGTGTATCTTACTTAATGTGACCACAGGAGATAGTTTAAGATCATTGACTAACAGAACCATAAATTATTGTTTCATTTAGTTCTATTGTAGAATCGTCTCTTATGCATTTTAGTTAATCTCTGTTTCTTCACGTTTTATAATTTGCTTTTTATTATTTTTATTTCTGAACCGTTTCCACCAGGCGATCAGTGACAATGAAGGGGAGGATGACATGGTGGGTGGGCTGCCAGCTAAAGACAATCACAATCATTTGATTTGATTGCATCATTATTCTCTCTGTTTGCGTCCTCTCACCTTCTTTTCTTATTGCTTTTATCCATTTCACCTGCAGTCTGGCTGCTCAGACTCAGAGGGATCCGAGGTAAGAGAATGCTGACGTTTCATATCGCGTCAGTCTGCTCAGACATTTAAGCTTCATTTTCTCAGTCGAAGCTTTTACTGAGCGACCAAAGAATGAACTTCTTTTGAGCCCCTTGAAAACACTCAATTATTCTTAAGAACGTTTAATATTGATGACGACATAAGCGAGAATGAAAGTCGACGATAAGGAAAGAAAAACCCCCGCAAGGTCTGAACTCACGCTCACACTGGGACAGTTTTTCCTTTTGTGGTTTGAATATTCGATCGTCGCTGGAAACCAGCTCACAGCACCAGATTCACCAGGATCACAGGGAAACATCACACTCAACATTCTTCTAAACGATGACTTTTGCACATTATGAAGCGACCGCTTTGACCCCCCCGGCAGCCTCTCTGATGAATCCCCCCACATCCCAGATACCACAGAGCTGCTAACACATGCTAGCAGAGCTGCTAACACCCCCCCCTCCTCTAGTGGTGCTTAATAGACTAGACAGCGGGCTGCTGGATCACTGCATTTAATAGAGTATAAAACGTTGTGTTTTGCAGCCACTTAATGGCTTCTGCTAATGGCTCAGTTACATCATAGGGGGTCTATGGGGTGTCGGGGGGGGGTTAATGCTAACTGAACAGATGCTAAATGTCAGGGTGAACATGCACAGTCAGTAAGTTGAGGTGTGGAGACCACGTGTGTGTTGTGTGGTATCTGAGGAACGGCCTTAAAGACGCGGGCTAAAGGTCGCAGAGGTTAGAGGCCCGGTAATAGTCTCATCTCAGTGAAGGTCCACCGAGGACGGACCGCAGGGACGCGGCTTACCGTTCATTGATGAGGACGATCTCGTTCGGGGACGTTTAGGGGACTCGGCTCCCACATGGGGACAAACGGCTCGGTCCCCGCGAGGTGTGTAATGTCTGTATGAGGTTTACTTTAGGATTCACTCACATTTGTGTTATTTTACTCCTCTAACGTCACGAGACCAAACATCAGAGGTTTTAGATTTAAAGCAGAGCTCTGAACCGAATGGATGTCGGACTTTTTGTAGGAAAACAACATTGTTTTTGGCAACGAGGCCTGATTGCTTCTCCCTGTCCCGTCCCGTTTGTCCCGTCCTCTCCCGTCCTCACCCGTCCCGCTCACCTCCAGGTTGACAACAGAGAGAAGGAGAAGCAGGTTGGTTGGTCAGGCCGGCACTGTGTGTTCCTGTGTGTGCGATCCAGTCCGTGTGTCTCCGTGTTGATGTTACGAAGTCAAACAGTTTGTTTTATTCGGGTTGTCTCTGAGCGGTCCGCCGTCTGTCCTCCCCGTAGGACGTGTCCTCGGCCTGTGATGACAGTGAGGAGGAGCAGGAGGAGGTTTGCTTTCTTTAAATCGGGTCGCTCCCTCATTTCCACAAACCAACGTCTCCTCTCCTGCCGGCCGTCATCTCACAGCTGATCCCCCGCGTGCTGAACTAGATCCTCTCCCCTCGTTCTGTAGAGACGACATCGCGTGTGTGTGTGTGTGTGTGTGTGTGTGTGTGTGTGTGTGTGTCCAGGTTCCATAGCAACCGTTTCCTTCATCAACCCCACGTCCGTTTGTTGCTTCCTGTCTTTAACGTTTTCTTTCATTCCTTTATTTGTGGGAGAAGCCTGATAAGGAAAAGGTGAGCTGCCAATCACCTCGTGACAACGATCAATGCTTCCCTTTTTTTCACTTTCACATTTCTGTCATTTGTTTTCCTCTTTTTTTTTGTATCTTTCAAGACTGAGTCCAAAAAGGAAAAGGTGTGTTTTAATGTAGCTGAAGGTATTTATGGAATATGGATGTCAGTGTGCTTGTTTGTGTCGAGGCAGCTCTGTAATGTATGTATGAAATATGATGTGTAATCTAACCTGAAGTCAACCGTAGCAGCTGTAACTAGTATTTTCAAAGTAATAGTTTAGTAACTGATAATGTGAAAGCAATGGAAAACCAAAGAGATCAAAAAGAGGGCGAGTATCAGAATCTTCAGGTGGACTAAAAGAAACCTCCAAATAACATCCAGTTCAACCCCAAATAACTACCTTCATTTTAAGACAAAACTATCACTACTTCAATAAATGGAAAATAATAACTTTGTTTCTGCAAAGTAATGATAACGCTGTTATGATGTTAATCCCACGGTCCACATCTCGCTTGTGCTTTATTAACAACCCTGTTAAATAAACACGTCGGGCCCTAAAATAACTCTTATCAGTCGTCCGAGGCTGAACATATAAAACCTGTGAGTCAGCAGAACTGGGCCTCTGGGGGTCTCACCTGAGGACAACAACGGGCTTTATTAATGTGACTGTCTGGAGGGAGAGAAGGATGACGGGTGAACCGAGTGTGTGTGTGTGTGTGTGTGTGTGTGTGTGTGTGTGTGTGTTGGTGCTGAAGCTCACTCACTCATGTGTGTCCCTGCAGGCTGAAAAGAAGGATAAAGAGAAGCAGGTTGGTTTCTGATCCCTCGCGTCCCTCGTTTGTTTCACTTCACGAGCTGCATTCTCATATTTTAGAAGCTCGCTCGGTAGAAAGAGAGATGTTGACAGCGTAGACCTTCTGTTCAAACACCTTCTTTTCCTTCCTTTGCCTCAAGGAGGACGCTAAGAGCAAACAGGTGGGTCCTTGAAGCTCGTCCTCCCTTCGGGTCTGTTGTCAGTTTTTTATCAAGTCATGAAAAAAGTCAATTATTTTCCAAACAGACGTCTTTAAAGATGCAGCTGGATCACCAGCGTGTTGCCACGTCCTCTCCCAGAATTTCCCAGAATCCAGTTCAAAGCATCGTTTCCCAAACCTTTAATTTGGCCGTCGGCGGCACAGACGCATTTAATTTCCTTCTCTCCGTCTCCAGGATGGAGCTTTTCTTTCAGCTTGAGTTTCTTTCAATTGTTGACTTCGAGGACAATTGTCTAATTTCTTTCTTTGTGTTGTTTTTCCTCACTAGTCAAAGGAGGAAGTAAACAAGGTTTGTTTGTGACATTTATCTCCCTTTTCCCCTCCCGGGCTTCTATGGTCGAATGGCAAACTCCATCAGTGCTGCAGGTAGAAGTTCTGAAGTAGGAGAACGGATCTTCTCATCCTGAGAAATGAACAAAGGACGCAGACACACTGGCATTTACCAACACGTGTCCCGTTGTTCTCATCCTCCCTCACACACACACACAGTACATGACGATGCAAAGCAACACCGACGTGTCTCATATCTGCTGAATTCTCCCGTTTGGGACGAAGCCGATGAGAAATAAGACGGCGAGGTCGGTTCTCCCCCATAAACCAGAGGCAATAAACATGAAGCTTTTATTAAAAATCACCCACTCACCGTTACCCAGCGCACCAGACTGCCCCCCCCCACCCCCCCTCCCCAACCCCCCCCCCACCCGCCAGAATAGAAGCCTCGGGCTCTTTTTCCTGCTGCGTCTGAGCAACACGCTGTGTGTTTTGTAACGTGTGACTTTGTTTTTCACGTTTCTGTCTTCTTTCTCGTTTCTTTCCCTCCTTCCGTCCTCCCCGAGAAGAGCGAAGCCACAGCCGCCGCAAAGAAGGTACAGTTGTGTGGTGGAGACAGAAAAGGACACGTCTAATTTCTAGGTTCTAGTGTGTGTGTGTGTGTGTGTGTGTGCTTTTGTTTCTCAAAGCGTTCTCGGAGGTTTCCGTTCTCTTCTTTAATTGCCCTGCATGTTCAGAAGGAATCGTGTGTGTAAAATACTTACATTAAGTCTGATGTAGAACACATGAACTATGCAAACACTGTTACACAAGAATAGAAGTGAATCCAGCGCCGCGTATGGAGACGTGATGCAGAGCGCCGCTCATTCTGAGGAAGTGTTATTTTGGTGCTTGTTGACTTCCTGAGCGAGAATAAACACTTGCTGGTCCTGATGTCTTCGCGCCCGTCTCCTCATCCGACGGGGGGCCGAGATGAGAGTAAACGGTGTTGGTGGCTGATGTGGAGCCCGAGATGCCAAACGTCTCCACCAGTCCACTGAGGTCCTGATGAAAGGCCCCATTTTCAGTGTGTTCAGCTGCTACAGACAGGAAACATCAGTGGTCCTGCTCAGGATTTAGTGCTCGAGTCACGTGACGCATACGTCCACGTTGACTGTGAGTGTCCCTCAGGGGGACGACGGAAAGACATCTTATTATTACTGCTCTTGATTCATCCTCCGGCCGCAGATCTGAGAGGATTCCATGATTTCATTCCTCTCTCAAGGACACACACACACACTCGTAGGGACACACACACCTCCAGGAGCCCGTCTGCTCGGCCGGGCCTTTGCACTTCTCATGCACACACTTCGTTAATCTGGATCGGGACCAAGAAGGAGGCGGAGCCGACGGCCCAAACTTTCACTCCACTCAACATTTTTCATTTAAATGGCGAGAGGCACTAAAACACTGTCGCCTCAAAGTCACGGCGCTCTTTAGTCCAATTATGTGCTCTGGCGCCGCGCCCGGCGTCCTCTCTCTAATGGCACAGCTGCCCCGTTTGCGGACGAGACGCTTTGCGGCGTCTCACGTACGTGAGGTCCGGCGTGCCGTTGACGGTGTCCTCCGCCTTTTTAACTGGAGGTGTGATGCTGCTCGGGGGCGTGCTCGTCCTGCGCGACGCACTCGGCCAGTTGTGATAAGTTGGAGCGTTCGGGATGTAACGTGCTGACGTGTTGAAACGGGGCCACTGAGGCAGGAGGACAGATGTGTGGGCGTCGCACATCTGGCTGGAATAAGGAGGGAAACATTTGCTTCCAGCAGGTTTACTGTTTACCGACGGCCTCCTGCTGTCAAATGAGCTCCACTTAATGTCAAAAAATGTTCAAATGTCAGCCTCTTGTATGTTCTCAGCGTGTTCGTGTTTCTCTTGTAAAAAAATGTTTTAATTGGCACATTAAAAAACAAAAAAAAATCGGTTGAATGTCAACACCGGTTTTTATTTTATTTTATTAAAGATAAATCAGATTCTCTGTGTAGAAATGAGCCACTTTGTTAGTTTTGTGATTTACTACATTTTGTCACTTAGGCCCCTCCCCCTTTCTTTCCCGCCTCGCTTTTATCTCGGCGTATGTTTACATGTTCCTATTTTGTATCGCACAGATACATATTATTAGTTGTATTCGTGAAACTCAAATAAAATACTTTTATCACAGTTTTAATTTACGTTAAAAACGTTACTCTCGTCATACGAGTGACCAAATACCGTTACAGTTATAGACCAACGTTGTACACTTCATACATTTCGGCTTTGGCTGACATTATTGCCGCATTAAATCAAAATGTTTGGGGGCTACCCATTTATTTATTATTATTATTTATGTGTTTAATTTTTGGGTGAGAAAAATAGAAAGACACCAAGAAAAAGGAAATAACAGAAGAATGCAGAGCACACTGTGACTGCTCTTCAGCAGTAGCCTGATATATATGTACATATATTATATACATTTGTATATAAATTTGTATGTATTATGTGTAACTAATGGTAAAGACATAAACTAACCAGATGTCACCTTTCTCCTTGTAGCTGGATACGGAGGCAGCCGACATCCTCAATGAGCTGCAGGTGAAGCTCAACACTCACCTGGACAACTTCAGCATCGTGTTTGCCAAGAGGTAACACATGCACGCACACACACACACACACACACACACATGCACACAGCCCTGCAGGAGTAAGATGCCCTCTGTGTGTGTGTCTCCTCATCAGTTTCCAGGCTCGCATTAACTCCTGCATGCGTCAGATGGCTGAGATCCTCTACCAGATCAAAGGCCCCCCCAACCACAGCACCGCCGAGGCCGACGCCGACAACATGCTGAGGCCCCTCATGGAGTTCCTGGATGGGAAGTAAGGGACGACACACAACACACGCACAACAACACACGCAGTGGCCTCATGAAGAGCCAAATAAAGTGGGTCACTGACCTCTGCGTGTGATCCAGTCTCAGCATCTTCGCGGACATCTGTGAGAAGACGGTGCTGAAGAGGATCCTGAAGGACCTGTGGAAGACCGTCCTGAGCAGCCTGGAGAAGTCCATCGTCCTGCCGCAGAGCAACGACAGCCTGGTAGGAACGAGCACAAACTCTGCATGGTTTCATCCGGGAGGCTCCGGGAGAAATATCGTCTTTTTTTTCCTGCTCGTCTTCTTGTTCCTTGTTAAAACTGGTCCCCACAAATAGAGTAGAATAAGAGAATTAAACACAGTATGATCAGTAATCCATCCTCCTCATGTATTTTATTCTGTCGAGCAATGAAATCAATATCATTCTATTTGTTCTCCTGCACCAATCACACGTTTAAGCCACTTGTTTCTGCATTGATTTCTTTACAAACGTATTTTTAAAAGTTCTGTTTCTGTCGATAGCTGGCAGAAAAACTCTTATTTCTGAAAATCAATTATAACGAATCCACACGAATCACTTTCACATTGTTGTTGTTGTTGTCTTCTGAAGCTGATTAATGAATTAAGCGACCGCGGACAAGAAGATCCTCCAAATTCTCTAAAATAGCAACGCTTGTTACAAACAAAATGACATTACAAATTATTCTGACAAAAAGATCTGCGTGCACAATGTCTATCGTCATTAATCAAATCAAAGTGTCTGCAAAGCGAATGGAGGCGGTCGTAGTACATCTGCAGACAGCTATTAGTACATGTTACATATGCACAGATGTGTGTGTGTCTGTGTCTCCAGTCACATCAGCAGCTGTGTTCTGCTGCCACCTGTTGGAAAGCTCCAGTTTGAGTTCCTCGTTAATGTGAAAGTCCCGCTGAATGAAGCATGAAGATATCACCATATAATCCCTCTCTCTCTCTCTGCAGGGTGCCCAGCTCCTCACAGCCGCTAAAGGACTGTCGAATCTCAAGGTAACACACGGGGGGGGGGGGGCGTTTGTTTTGTTCACTTGGAGCTGGTCCGTGGCGTTGACCTGCGCTCGGCCTTTAGCACAGGAAGTCTCAGCACCACGGACAGCGCCTTGTATCCATCACCACACAGGCGCTTATTGATTCCTACGAAGGCCTCGTTCAGATTAAAGAACGATGACATTTTGAAAGTGGGCCACGTGCAGAAAAGTCCTGTGGCAAATAACGAGTAAAGGTGACGTTTTTATCGTTTGAAAGCGCCTGATGTCTGTGACGTTTTGGTCGCTGCAGGGCGGCGGTGAGGCCAAAACGCTGACGCCCAAACAGTGCATCATCATCGACGCCGGGCTGGAGACCATCAAGGTTGGTCAGATTCGTGTAGCTTCACTCAACACGAAGAGTAGTTCATCAACAAACACGTCTTTGTCGCCCACAAAAACTGCTCCTGCTTGCTTTCGCACATTTTAAATGTTGCTACCAGATTTAAAACCCTGCTTTATAAGATACAATCAATGTGAAACATACAATCTGTGTTTACGGTGGAGGACACTTGTCCTTGGTGTGGGATCATCGTTGTGTTTCCGTTCCCACTCGGTGTCCCTCTAAAGGATTCATTTGTTGCCTCTCTGGTTTCTTTCAGCAATACTTCCACGCGGGAGGAAACGGGCTGAAGAAGACGTTCGTGGAGAAAAGTCCTGAACTGGCTTCCCTGCGTTACGCCTTGTCCCTCTACTCACAGAGCACCGACGCCCTCATCAAGACCTTCGTCACCACGCAGCACTCCCAAGGTCCTCTCTCACACACACACACTGCATACGCAGCATATCCAGACAAATAGTGTCCTGAACCTCTGTGCTCCTCCCTGTGCTCTCAGTGCACGACGGGATGGGCATCAGAATCACCGGCAGTGAGAAGATCCGACCCGATAGAGGTGAGTCCACTCGGGTTCCACGTGAAAACGCTTGAGCTTCCTCTGAAAAATACACCTCAGTGAAATCCAAATATTACAGGTTCATCAAATGTATTTTGCACACCAAAAAGTTTCTTTTCTCAAGTGACCAACGAGGGAAGCGTCATGTTTTATGTGTGAAACGGGCTCTGTTCTTGTTGCCCAAAGCAGAGGTGTGAGATAAGAAGCTGCAGCAGCAATGAGCTCCTGATCGTCGGAATGATGTTGGTTCATGTTCCTGTGTGACCTGGTGCTTTGTGTCCTGCAGGCCCGGGGGTGGAGAAGCCCATCGGAGAGGCCGTTCTGCAGATCGACATGATGCTCGGCAAGGAACGCAAAGTCAGCGTCAGAGGTGCGACTTTTACCAGCTTAACGCTCTCAGCTACACACCGTCCAGAACCGAAGCTCCTTCACACTCGGGTCTTAAACCCACGACTGAGTCAGCTGAGACCTTTAGGGTTCATTCCGCTGGTTTTGCGTGTTTTAGCCCATTTATTCCCTATGAGCTTTGACCCCTTCAGTCCTCAGGGCCAAACCCAAGACGTAATAGAACTTTGAATCCACTTCTGGATCAGTTGAAGGACCGTTAAAGTCTACCGACCTCTCTCCCCCCTCTGTGCCCCCTCGCCTCCCCCCATCCAGTCATCGCAGTGAACGACATGAAGTGGCAGACGTCGGGGATGTTCCGGCCTTTCGTCGACGTGTCCATGGTCGGCCCCTTCCTGGCCGACAAGAAGCGCAAGTTCACCACCAAGTCCAAGAACAACAGCTGGTCGGCCAAGTTCAACGAGGCTTTCCAGTTGTGAGTCGAACATGTGACCCGTGACATCTGGAGTGTGTGTCTGGAGGTGAGCGTCTGATTGTTGCTATCTGCGCCCGCAGCGTCCTGGGCAAGGAGTCCCCGGACTGCTACGAGCTGCAGGTGACGGTGAAGGACTACTGCTTCGGCCGGGCGGACCGCGTGGTGGGCGTGGCCGTGCTCCAGCTGCGCGACGTCGCCGACCGCAAGAGCTGCGTGTGCTGGTGCCCGCTGGGGCCGCGCGTCCACACCGACGAGACGGGCCTCACCGTGATGCGCATCCTGTCCCAGCGGCCCGCCGACGAGGTGGCCAAGGAGGTCGTCAGGCTGAAGGCGGAGACCCGTCCCGCAGAGGAGGGCAGATGAGCGGAGGGACGCGAGAGATTGACGTGTGACGCAGGTCACAGTCAGCCGTTAGGGGGCGGGGCTTCGTCCGTGGTCCTCGTCCTCAGGGAACACGGGCCTCTGAAGCCTCTGAAGCCTCTTCCTCCTAAAGACGTTTAACATCTTAACAACCAAGAAACCAAAAGGGTTCAAACCGCCGACTCAGAGGGGACAAGCGCTTTCAGCCCGTTGGAGAGAAGCTCTCGAGGTCTTTTCGTCTCCTGAAAGCGATGACGAGCTGTTTGTCTGTAACTAAATCCACCACCTGTTGGCCCTCAGAGCTGCTGATCCACAGCTTCTTGAACGCGAGCGGTTTATCCTGAAGGCTGATAGATGTCTATTGATCCTAAACCACTATGACATCAGGTGAGATGAGTTGGTGGAAGCAAACCAACATTCTTGTTGCTTTGCTCGTCTGAGCCTTTTAAATGCAAACAGACGTCGGAACCACAGTTCACTCCAAACTAAACCCACGACATGGAACCAGCTGATAAGTGTCACGTGACCAAATGTGTCAACAAAAGTCAAACAGATTACGTTTATTTTTCCTTTCACGTGACGTCACATCAGAAGTGATCAGAATACGAATAATATGAATGTTATGAAGTCACAGAGTTTCTAGAGAGTTTGCTGGAGGATTTCTTGTGTAACTGCAGTCAAGAAGAAGTGTGTCAAGATGCTTTTAACGTGTGTGGCCTTTTAGTGGTGAACCTGTTTCTTCTGTTCCCGGACTGAAGATAAAAACCACGAGAAGTCGTCACGTTGAGACATGAACTCATATCAGCTCTTATGAAATATGCCTTAAAGAAGAAGCGTCCTCAGTGGGATTCAGAGAGACGTCACACACGGATGCTTCTACGACACTGATGTTTGTTCTGCAGTTTTAAAACGGGGACGAGGACAGAAAGTGTCTCGGCCGTCGGATCGGTGTCTCTGCATCGTTGTCTCTACAAACTGGGATGAAACAATGAAGCAGGCAGGCGGCTTGTTTAATGTGTGTAACCGGGTTCCATCCACACGCGTTGTGCGTTTACCACGTGCCAAGGAACGCCGGTGTTGTCGCGTCGTCAGCGGACGGGTGCGGCCGTCCTGGATGTCCCGATTCTCACTGCTCGCTCTGCCAAAAGTAGCTCCAGAGGTTCTGGGTGGCGTTCAGATGGAACCAGTTTAGAGACGGAACCATCGCTCGTCTGCGGTACGAGTGACTCTACAACGGCCTCAGCTGCACCGACAACTGGACTCTGTCCACAACTAACCGGGAGTTTGTACTTAGGACCACAGCATGTATTTATTGTACACTAAAGTACTAGAAGGGTGAATTCTTCCTGTATGTACTGTGAAATATGGAGATTGATCACATAGATGTAAAGTAGGTCTCATTATTCTAATGTGACATATGTTGAATAGACCTGGAACAATATTTTGTACATAAAACCTTTGTGAATCAATGCAGTGTGTCCTGTCCTTTGTCCCTTCCCTGAGACTTGTGGACAGTACTTTGCTGAGACACATCTGTCTCATCAGTGTGTTTTTAATGAACAGAACAGACCTCAGACCAGCGTCCGTCTGTAGACTTCACTGCACAAAGAGTCAGAAACACTCATGAGACATTTCAACCTGCCAGAGAAGCAAAGAACGTTCTTCAAAAAGGTGCTTTAGTAACTTTAGTGTGAAAATATTCAGACGAAGAAGAAGAAGAGACTGACAACGTGGTTGTAAAGTTGTTCATCAAATGCTGATCAGAGATGAGAAGCACTCTCGTGCCTCTAGAGGGAAACATCACGCTGTTTCAGCTCACTGAAGCTCTCCTCCATTTTAAACGTGTCCTCCTGTGACTGTCCACAATGTGATGTCACTTAAGGAAACTAAATAATAATATTGTTCTCATAAGTTAAAATGGTGTCTGGTGTTGACACTGTGCTGCTGCTCTGTCGGCCTCAGGAGCCCCCAGTAGAGCTGTTAAATATGTATAGAGAGAAATACACCATTTAAGTTATAACAAAGGAAACTTTGTCACCTGCAGCTCGATTCATGTGATCGATGGAGAGATGGTGATCATTTAAAGATAAATTTAATAATATGTTGTCAGAAATAATAATACAAAACAAAAATAAAAAATTGAAAGAACTAGAAAATAAAAAAAATAATGGACTAATAATGGACAACATGGACTTTGTGCAGTTTGTCATGAAGGTAAATGATTTACCGCTCAGCTTCACCCTCCTGTTGCCTTCAAATGCACTAACATCTTTTACCATTGGGGTCAATTGGACCCCAGCAAACTCTTAATTATCATTATTCATATTGGTCCACAAGTTTATGTGTGAGGAGCTTTGTACTCGTTTGTTGACTACCTAAATGATAAATTAAATGAAACATTAAAAATAACACCCACTACCCACTTAAACATGGAAGGTGTTTAGCGACATGGTGGCTGTAAATATTCCCACCCTAAAAAGGGACTAATGATCAAACTATAAGTCAAGTCGCATAATAGAAATTCACTCATTAAAAGCGAGGAATTGAAGGTTTGAGTTTTTACACTGTCTGTTTCCAACCATCATCACAGTCCACACATGCAGAGAAATCACAGGAAACTGCTGCTTAAAGAATAAGAGATTATTAACTTCCAACTAATACTATTTAGATCAGTACCATTTGAAAACAACAGAGCTATTATATGATATCCTAATATGTAGAAAACCTATAAAAACATGTATTCAGATGTGTGTCTGTGGAGGGGAGCTAACTGAAAGCTAAGCTACCGACCACGTGCAGGCCATGCGTGGCTACGAGCTGGTTGAGGTGTTTTTACATCACGTGTGTTCCTCACATAGTTAAACCTCTCTCTGTAGGTGACTTGGTTAGTAAATTATAAATCAAAAGAAAGGAAAGACTCAAAGCAAAGCAGATCTGATGGGGAACAGTGAGACACGATAGCGGTTAACTTAATCACCCAGTTCATAAACACACACTGCAAAGTAACACATGCTAATCTAACTTGTAGACGTAGCCTCACTGTGCATTGATGGGGTTCGCCGTGCTCGGTGTCCACTCGGTCCTGTGTTGTGGGGATCGATTGGGGATCTTGTGAACAGTTGGGTATCTTGGTGGTACAAAGCTGTTCATGCTCTCTGACACACATCTGAACCAAAGGGATTAGAGGAAGTTTTCCTTCTTGGTGAGCTCGAGCTCTAACCTTCAATCAATCAATCACAAGAAGCTGGATGGAAAATGGTTCACTGCGTCAAGTGACTGGAATTCATTAAGAAGTTAAAGATTAATACGTCTGCATGTTGAAGTCCCCTTAATCTGAAAATCCACAAGATTGGACTTTTTACCCTCATTCAAAACAAATAAGGGCTGACATGTCTTGGTACAATATTAAGGGGTTTAAATTATTTATAATTGTGATTTGGAAAAGGCTACTATTACTTATTTGGTAAAGCATGTTGGTCAGCGTCAAGTGCGCCCGGTTGAGGAAGAGGTGACGTTCATGGCTCAGTTTCCTGTTCCTACTAAACAGCAACCACGTCAGTTCTGTCAGGATCTCCGATCCCCCCGAGTTGGTTGATGAGAAGGATCGCAGCACGTTGATAAATTAAAGTCAAAAAGTTAACATTCATTTAGAAGAGAAAAAGATTACATGAGCAATTCTCCGCAGATATCTGGCTCCAACTATTGCTTGCGAGCAGGAGGTAAAACACATAAGCACTTATCTCAGCGTAATGAAGTCTCAGAGCAGTAAAAAGGCTGAGTTTTTATACGATAGTGAACGCCAGTCGCAGTGCCAGGTACGAGAAGCTGCAATTCAGGTTGAGACAACAACCCAGGTGAAGCTGAGGGTAGCACACACACACACACACACACCCAGCAAGATCATCCTCAGTGGCCGGTGCAAATCATAATTAACCGACAAAGTAAAAACGTGGATCCGAGAACTTTCGTGCCAAACAAGATATGAACCAAGGCCATGAACAGAAGTTCTTTGTTTTGAAGCTCGACCGCCCTCCCTTCTTGTAGCAGTCCCTGTTGCTCAGACGGACCCGTTGAGCCCTCGTCCATCTTGAACGGGTCCAAGAGTTTCACCTCTAGCGGCACAGTACGAATGCCTCCGGCCGTCCCTCTCAATCATGGCTCCAGTCCGGAGGATGAAACCCACAAAATAGGACCGGAGTTCTATTCCATTATTCCTAGCTGCGGTATTCAGCCGACCGGGCCTGCTTTGAACACTCTCCCACTCACTTTTTTCAAAGTAAACACTTCATTTGGGACACTCAATCAAGAGCATTCAGGGGGCGGTCAAGAGGCAGGGGACCGGGCAGGCGGTGGCACACCTCACGGTGGACCGCCAGCCGGACCCCGAGGTGCAACTACGAGCTTTTTAACTACAGCAACGTTAATATACGCTATTGGAGCTGAAAATACCACGGCTGCTGACACCAGACTTGCCCTCCAATGGATCCTCGTCAAGGGAGAAAAGCGCACACCCAGGAACACTCAGACAAGGACCTCCAGACATTCAACAATGACAATAGACAAGTGACAATAGACACACATGGCTTAAATACACTAGGGAGGTGCAGGTGATTGGACACAGGTGGAAACAATCAGACACGGCAGACAATCACAGGGGATGACAGGACAAGGCAGGAAGTGAATTTATCCGGGGACACGTGTGGCAGAAAACAACAAAATAAAACAGGACGTGAACCCAAACCGTGTTCTTTGGATTAGTGACTCACTATAGAGGTTCTTTCCAAAACTTTGCCTCCATTGTGTCCAATTTGACAGACCTTCTTAGTCCAGGCAGGAATCTGGTTTGTGACGATAAAGCTCTTCTGTGTAGTTCCGGTCCCGTCTGTTGCAGACTTCACAGTGTAACATTCCAGCTGGAGGTGGATGTCAGTGGTGATGGAGCTGGTGCTGTATTGCTTCAGGAAGCCTCTGATGGTGTTGATCACCCGGTGTGTTACTTCTCTAAGAAGTTCTCCACAGCCCAACGTAAGTGCAACACCATCAACAAAGAGGCTTTAGCTTTAGAACCTCCAGCACTTTGAGACTCATGTGGACTCGACTCCGCAGCCAGTAATCGTGTTCACGGATCAGAACATCTGGTTTTCCTCTCAAGGATGTACAATAGGAACCAACGACTTAGAAGGAGTACATCATTAAGAATACACCCACAATTCTGTTATTCAGCTCCAAAGAAGCTCTGTTTCTCCAATCTGCCAAATGAGCCATTTCGATGTGAATGTGTCGTCTTAGAGGAGATGGAGGTGATACTGGGACGCTTCACTTCATGTGTTGTGGCATAAACATAAAGTATCCCACCAGCAGCTACGTCAACAACTATTCAATTAAATTCCTTTTATTTTGTATAGCCCAAAATTACAAATTCCGAATTTTCCTCGGGGCTTTTCTCCCCAAAAATTCGGGGGGGGGGGCTCCTGTTATAATGTTAGAGGAAACACTGACCTCCCACGCAAAGTGAGCACCACATATTTGTTGTGAGTCCGTGTTTAGAAGCAAAGCGAAAGAGCTCCAGAGGTCGTCTCTCTCATCTGAGTGAGCTGTAGTTATGTATTAAGTAAATAGTTAGTTTGAAACCACATTAGAAAATGCCACACACGCACACAGACACATAGCAGCTCTTGGAAAAGTAGGTGCAGTGTTTCCTGTAACAATGAACAAGGGAGGGGTGGGGGGGGGGGTGTAATAATACAAAACAAAAATTGCAAGTACAACAAAAAGAAAATCATAGTGAAAATAAAAATATATGTTTTTCTTGACTTTCCCGCAGTTTGTTTTCACAGTGCTCTATCTATCTATCTATCTATATATATAAATATATATATATATATATATATATATATATATATATATATATATATATGAGCCAGAGGGTTCAAGGTGCATGAATACTGCCATTGACTCCTGCAGGTAACAACATGTCCTTTGTGAGAAGCTGCAGTTTGTCATGAAGCTAAATGATTGACCTCACAGCTTGAGACTGATACGTGAGTAAGTTGTTCCGCCCCAACAGGTGAAGAGTGAAGAGTAAAAACACTCTCAGGTCACTTCACTGCGTCTGATGGAAGTGAAGCACCAAGCTCCTTTTCTACAGAAGAGAGCTGCTCACTGAAGAACTTCATGTCTACAAGCTCAGTAAGTGCAGCTGTGATTGGTTGAATGACATCATTGATGGTTGGGATGTGTGATTGTTTGAAGATGCTTTTAAAAACCTCGACAGGGAAACAGGGATCTCTACTGGGAGGAGTTCGGTAAAGTTATCAAGATATTCACAGATTCAGACTTCACGGTTGAAAAGCTCGTCAGCGAGACAACGTTAAAACACTAACGACACCTCTCTGTAACCGTAGAGACAACCAACTACAACCCTTATTAACCATCATTCTACCAAAACAGACACTCGGCGAGCTGGACAAATCATTTTTGTCTTAATGTGCGGCAGCTTTGGAGGCGAGTGCACAGGGACCGTCTGCAAAGTACAATGCGTAAAAACAATATTGCAGAAATATTTGATACCTTCACTGTTCACCAAAATCATACTGTATATAAGTGGGCTCATTATTGTTGTACTACAGTAGTTCATTCGATGAAATGTGCTTTTCGCAGTATTTCATATAAACATTATTCAGTAGCTTCACTCTTATAAAGTGTAGCAGGACCAAAGTCATGGCATACATCCATGGGCGTGTTCTTGTTGTTGCTATTGAGTCATTTTTAATAATTATGTTCAATAATTATGACAAAGAATATTCAATAACTCCACTGTCATGGATTCTAAAACCACCTAAATCATGGCATATGTCAATGGGCCTGTACTTGTTGTACTACACCTTTTACTTTGTATGAAAATTGCTTTTGAGTATTTATTATTAATAATTCAGAATATTTATATTCAACAACTTCACTGTTATGAATGGTAGCATCCCCCAAATCATGTCATATGTTCACGGGTTTGTTCTTGTTGTACTACACCTGTTATTTTGATAAAGTTTGATTTTGTATAATTTTAATTAACTTAATTCTAATGCAATGTAGTGCCATTACATTTTTTTTCACAACCACGACCACTGGATCCTATTTAATTTCGTGAAACCAGAATATTGGTTAAGAAGCCCTTAATGAATTAATATACTTACAAGATCTCATATTAACTAAATGATTCTTCTTAAAATATTTGACCCAGCTGTCATTAGTCTGCTGGTATCATTGGTTGGATTAAACTAGTGCTATTGTAAACCTACACTCACCCGACCACTGCTGTGACGTCCTTAATAGAGAAATACATTACATTACATGTCATTTAGCTGACGCTTTTATCCAAAGCGACGTACAATAAGTGCATTCAACCATAGGGTACAAACTCAGGAGAACAAGAACAAGAAGTGCAATTTCCTCAATAAGCCAATTTACAATTTGCTATAGATGAGTGACGTTACAGTACAATTAAGTGCTACAATGTTAGTTTTAGTCGAGGTAAAGTCTGAAGAGGTGTGTCTTTAGTTCGCGGCGGAAGATGTGAAGGCTCTCTGCGGTCCTGATGTCTTCAGAGAGCTCGTTCCACCATTTCGGCGCAAGAACAGCGAAGAGTCGAGACCTAGTCGAGTGTTTTGCTCTCAGTGAGGGAGGGACGAGTAGTTTTGCAGATGCAGAGCGGAGAGTGCGGGTTGGGATGTAGGGTTTGACCATGTCCTGGATGTAAGCTGGACCCGATCCATTCACAGCATGGTACGTGAGCACCAATGTTTTGAACTGGATGCGGGCGGCCACCGGTAGCCAGTGAAGAGAGCGGAGGAGTGGAGTAGTGTGGGAGAATTTCGGAAGGTTGAAGACCAGTCGAGCTGCTGCATTCTGAATGAGCTCTAGAGGTCGAATGGCGGTGGCAGGGAGACCTGCCAGGAGGGAGTTGCAGTAGTCCAGGCGGGAGATGACAAGAGCCTGAATCAGTACCTGCGCTGCCTTCTGAGTGAGAAGGGGACGTATTCTCCTGATGTTGTAGAGCGTGTATCTATAGGATCGCGTTGTCGCGGCGATGTTGGGAGTCAGGGAGAGTTGGCTGTCGAGTGTGACGCCGAGGTTCTTAGCGGTCAAAGTGGGCGTTAGTACGGAGTTTCCCAAAGTTGACTGTCAGGTCCTGGGTAAGCAAATCTTTTTCCGGGAAAGAGAAGTAGTTCAGTCTTGTCGGGGTTGACCGTGTCAAATGC